CAACATACTAGTGTGCTGTGCTTTCTTATTGGCCTTAAATACACACGATTACTGTAAAAGTGGGCTGGGCAAAAGGATAATCATGATATTAATTAAGTTGATTTCATGATATTGATTATGTCACACTATGGCAAATGTAAACAAAATCACCTGACCTATGTATCGCCGTCACTTATCATGCAAGAAAAAATCTTTTACATGGTTTTTAATCAAAGCCTGCTCAATCTATTTGGACAAAATAAACAGAATGTCGATTAGATTGAATTATAGCTTAGTATCTAAAATCATGTTACCTGCATTAGTCATTCAGATTTATTTGGGTAGCTTTCATATTCATAAATGCATGACGCACCTTATTTACACCATGGGCCATTTCAAACACTACACCGCAGAAACAATCACATGGATATAGCCTACAGTTCTTCATTGTTGATTGTAAATTCAATTGTTTTAAATTGCATTAAAAGCATAACAAGTTATCTCCAGTGTCATACAAGAGATGTACAGAGACCCAACATTCCCTCATCAGCAACCATGAAAGTAAAGAATCTCCTCACCATAGAAATATTTCATTAAACTGACATTAAGCGTACAGTAGAGAGGTACCTCAAATAATAACTTGTTTATTTTGTTGATGCTTAGTTCCCATTTCAAGGGAACTGTAGTGACCAGATGCAGAAACTGCACAGCAAGAGCATTTTAAATTGTGATAGCTTCTAAGACTGAGAGGTTTCATTTGGTTAAAGTGTGTTTATTTTAACTGTTGGGATCTTGGGTTCCTGTTGGAAACTGTACTACATCCCACGCCCCAATGAACCCCTGATTGAGTGAAATTAAAAGTCCACGTCAAAGTGGCCTTAGTGGGGTGCCCGGCTGACAAGTGACTTCCACTGAGAGTTGACCTTTACCTGCAGCTTAATGAGATCCCCCCCCCCCCCCCCCAACACTCTAATCCAATCAAATCTCTTTATTTCTGGCCCGAGTGAAGAGACAATCTCACACCCGGGGGCTCAGTTTAAGAACAGAGCCTTCTCCCACCGGACTAAGCACTGCGTCCTGGTTTTGGATACAGGCGAGTGTATCAGGGTGTAGGACATCAAGTGTGAGACTGAAAAACACACACGCTATACGAGTCAAAGTCCTCTGTCAATGAATTCAGCTGTTAATGATGTTGAACCACATTTAAGTCAGATATCTGTAATTCTTACTTAGTGCTGGAATGTCTTTTGTAGCATTTTATGCCTATAAATTTTATATCTTATTTATTGAGTTTGGACCTGCAATGTGGAATCCAAGACATTTTCCCCCAAAGGGACATTAAAGTACATTCTACTGAATCTAGCTTGAATCTGTCTCAATAGAGGCTTGACACGTCATACTCAAATGTGGAAGGCAAACAAGACAAACACTTGTATACACACACAAAATTGGATGTCCAGTCTCATGCCCTAACGCCTCATGAGCACAGTGTCTGGTTATCCAACCATAGATCAGTGGCCCAGCTGTGCAGCTGTGTGACATGGATGTGTATGAACACTCATGTCAGAGGTGGATGCAGCCTCAGTACAGCCATTACACACACTACCTCACTCACACACTTCCTGGAAGTACTCAGCGTTATATTTAACCCTCAGGATGAGTTTGTTGCCTTTGTGTGTCACAGGATCACCGGACCTAAATTGTGGGCTACATGATTGTGTGTCATGGGGGGAACTACAAATCAAGACCGACTTTGCTTTTGGGTTTGCATAGGTCCCATAACAGCACTTGCAAGTAATACACATGCAGGGGATCCGTTATTTGCCTTGTTTCACACAATGACAAGGACAACAAATGTAAGATCTCACAGCCTTTACAACAAACTACTCACTATGTGTGCTGGTATTTCTAGAGACACACACACCTCTTCTGGATGCACAGTAGCTGAACATCTACATAGACTGCATTAGCATTGAAATTCAATGGTACAAGTCACAGGCAAAAAGATTGCATTGATGACATAATTGATTGATGTTATCTCTCTCAATGTTGCACTTTGCCCACAGATGTTGGTCAGTGACAAGATACAATTTATTCTGACTTTGCAGACTAAAGTTGTTTGTTTTATAGATCAGTGAGCTCAGTTACATTCTTAACATGCTCATGGACTCAGTTATAAATGTCTCAACAGCAGCAGCACAATCCCAGGTTAATGGTTAACCTGTGAGAAAATGCCTCATGTGTAGACAGGCTGATATGCTAGCTAGCGCGATTAACCTTAAATAAATACACAACAATCACTGTGGTGCAGTTGGAGGCACATTGAAAGAAAATAAAGTACATTTCAATACGTTCCTGGGTCACATTTCTGAGGGTGTTTACAGCATTTAAGCCCCAACATACACCGCCTGGACACTGGACGTATCAATAGTGTAGCTTTAACGTTAATTTGACATCCAGCATGCGAGTCCCTCACCTAATAACCTCTTCCATTGAACATTGAATCGCTCTCGTTCTCCTCAGACCACGTTTCATTTCTTTCTCTCCATGTTGTCAGAGATACTCCTGCAGGGATCCTACTGACCCACCTGTTGCTCATCAGACATCTTACGTATCATAACCAAGCACACACACACACACACACACACACACTATATATATAACGCTGTGCTTATGAGAGATGAAACCGTTAGAACAAACGTGTATCTTACTTCCATAGCGTGGCTTTTGTAGAGTTGCGGTTTCTTCATGGTACATCTTGTGTCGTTTCCTCCACTTGTGGACTCGTCTGAACTGGAAATAAACCTACGAGCTAACGTGACAACGACCAGTCAGCAGTATGCCGCGCCTCTCAGGATATATTGGTATGAATAAGATAACCGGTGGAGGGGAAACAAGCAAAAAAACTGTCTTCAAAAGTTTCATCAAAGCGCCAACTGTCACTTTCGACAGACAAGCCCCATGGTGTGCACTTCTCTGGCTCCTGAACAAAGTGTTAGTGTTAACTTGTCCCTGCTAACGTTCCGCTCTGAAGTGAAATGATTGACAGGAGACGGACGTTTAGCACCTTGCTCCACCTGCTGGTCAAAAGGTGGCTCATGCTGCATTCACTGTCACTGGGGGAAATGGTAAATCCCGGCCCAGCACTACAGCACTGCACTAATGTCTGTATTCTCCTGTTCTGTCTGTTTTACTCAATGTAAGCTTATTCCCATCATATGTTTTACTTTACTCTTCATGCATCTCTTTAATTCTTATATTTCCCCTCTGGCACCCCCTATACATTATCCACCAGGTCCCTTACCGTCCACCATTCATTAAAATGTAGGCTAATTGTCTGCCTTGAATATACTTTTTGTTATTATTATTCTGAGCAATATCATTTTGATCACAAACAGCAGCCCATTAGAAAGCCACCTCAGACATTTCATCAGAATCAGAACCATTTATTGCCGTGGTATGTTGAATGGTATCATTTCCTTCATTCTGGTAAATTATCATGCACCAATTTATGTTGTCTTTATTTGTGCAAAGGAAACAGAATTCAGGCAGCATGTGACAATTCTAAATGTGAAAATATAATGCAATATAATCCAAGCATTCTGTGTTGCAGCTACAGTAGTAATTTAAATACCTAAATTAAACCACTAGGTGGCAGCATTAGTTTGAAATGAATGGAGTACCCTCAGGGAACACTGCTGCAGTGTTTCTCTACTGATACTCAACTACCTACACTAAGAACACAAACGAGATTGTCTGCCTCATTTATGTTCAGGTGGACTAATTATTAGACACGACCATCGAGTTGAATAAATACCTCTCTATCACTGTTTCAACAAAAACTGAAGGTTATTACCTTAATAAAGATGTTTTGAAGGTGTTTTATATTAGCGTTTACCTACACTTTTTATTATGAATGCAAAAGTTTTTGTTAGGCAATAAATTCACAGCTAAATTTATTTTATATGTTTATCTTATACGTTTAGCATCCCACACATATGAAAGTACCCACGAACAGATGAAAAAATAAACTACTTGGAAAAAGGGAAATAATTACAAATGCTAAATAAGGACTAGGTCTTGGTGAAAATGTCTCCACAGCAGATAAGTGCAGTAATGTATGGAGAGTATGAATATGGAGATTGATTATATTCCGAGGTTTGAGATAAGGGTTGTGAAATAAAAGCAAAGCATAATTTGCTAGAGAACATAACTTTTATTGTATATATGTTCAAAAGCAGCACAGTCTGCAACCCCTGCCTTTCCAGTTTCTAACGTTATTCACAGGGCATCGTTTGGCAAATAATTCTTCACATATTTTCACACTTATGGACCTCTGAACATACAGCTCAGTCATCCTATGACTGGCAGGCCCTTCACAATAATATACACAACTCTATTCTCCACATACATTTGATTATCTCCAATAAATGGATGAACAGAACTTACAAGAGTGATACATTCACATTTTTCCTCAACAAAAAAATCTTAATATTGCCATCATTTTCTGCCAGATGAATTTACAGTAAGAACACAAAGTTGACCACAAAAGAACAGAAGTTTTCTTACATACATGCAAGTTTGTGCACACACACACGCACACACACACACAGAGTAGCAGGTGAGTATGGGCTTAAAGCCAAGGACACACAGAGATGTACAACAGAGATACAGTAGATGGACTTATCGCTTGGACAAAGCAGGAGACACATGAGTCGATCAAGGAGCTTATAACCAGAAGTTCACCGATATCAGCTTTGATATGTACATTATTTACACTCGTATACGTAGGCCCACACACACACATCCAGTACTCTCTCTTACACACACACACACGCACACACACACACACACACGTTAATACAGTACATAAGCAATACCCCAAATACCTCAAACATAACCGGTAGTGTAATTTCCCTCCAATACGACATATCAATCCTTCTAATATCCTTGCAGACGTAGTGTTAGATTGACACTGGGCAAAGTCATGACTTTTTATATCAGTGCATTTAGAATTAGTATGTTATGTGTTATACTTTTGTTAAATCATATGCTCAAAATGTATCTGTTGTGCAATAGCAGCACACGTCATAATGTTTTTCCAACTGATTTTACAAAATCTGAGAACATGTTGGGTACACTGAAATGGACGCACATGTACAGTACCATTTTGGAAGTCTTTTTTTGTTGTTGTTTTTGTCAAGTAGCCTTGAAAGAGCCAACTGCAGTGCAAGGGCATACTACCTCTACGCTGCGATCACAGACACCACAAATACAGAGAAGCAGGAGGACACCAGCTGTTAGCCACAAAAAACTGAGACTGAGAGCAACTGAATTGTTCTGTTATATCTGAAAAATGTCAAAAATCAATTATATCAGTTACAATTTTAGAGGTATTTTAGCACTTTGAAAAGAGCAAAGTGATGTTATGATTATTATGTTAAGCAGAATGCAATGAGGTCCCAATGTTGAGTAACAAGATACGTAACTAGTACAAGGTAGGTCATGTTTTCAAGTGTGAGATTTTAGACAAAACTGTTGGTAAGTCACAACAAATGACAAAACTCAAATTCATCATCCGGTTTTCTATTTGTTTCACAACTTGAAATGAAAAAAACATGCATATTTTCATAATGTCACCAATAAGCCCTCAAAAAGAGGTGCTACTTAATTATTTATTTGTTATTAATTTGAAGTTACGATCGCTAACATACACCATTTGATCCAACGTTGTTATGATTCATTGTTACCTATTGGAACTCATTTTTTTCTGAGTCGGAGGAGGCTTATCTCACCAAAGTAAAAGATGTAATGAGATATCTGACAAAAGATATCAGGTGGTTTGACAAAAAAAAAGGAATTCCCAACCTATTAAGATACTGGCCATATTATCTCACATCTCTACTCTACACACACACAAAAAGGGCATGAATATTTCATCTATTTACTTCCTATTCAGTTTCTGTCTGTTTCTTATGACCTTTGGACACCACTGCATGACTGCTCCAGTTAAGGAGAGGCACATTTAAAAAAGGCCATTCAGTAATTTTAAAAGGAAGCAGCATGACATGTCACTATCAACGCTACTGCCACAAGGGAGATCCAACACAAAGCTAAATCAGAAGGAGAGCTCATCAGCGAGCCTTTGCACAATAATACAATACATGGATGGAGACCTGGAGTAACAACATTTGGATAAAACGAATAAGTCATCATTCCAACTTCCACAAAACACAAAACAATATGCAGAAAATACATAGCAGCCTCAGATTCAACATACCATACAATTACTGGTACAAGAAAATACAGTTTTTTTTAAATGGCCTTTTTGATTTTTGGTCGGGTAATGCAAAGGGCTTGGCCTCATACGTGAATTATCTATGTTGAAAAGGTTGAAGATGTCTAAGCAAATGTCATGTTGAGCAAAATACAGCATTTTGTGTGTCCAGTATGATGCAAGTGTAGAAAAAAAAGTGTAGGTAGATGTGAGTACCAGTCTATTTCAAGACGTGTATTTGCACATTAAGTATATCTATTTGTGATTTTTGTTTTATGTGTTGATGTCCATGTTGCCTTTCTGCACACTGTCTACAACATGTCCTGTGTACGTGAGTCTTGTGGGCAAGCCAGCTGTCATACAGCTGTGTCGTGTGCCCGCTCTATCTGATCATCTATTCCCTACGTTGTCACACAGAAGGTTGGCTGTGCTCATTACAGCTTGTTTTTCACTTTCCTCCCCATCTGGCTTGTCTTAATAAGACTGTATCAATATTAAAAGCCTTGAGCTCTAACTATGCAGGGACTCCACTCAAACTTATGGCTACAGCTGGAAGAGGCAACCAGTCACTGAACAAAACTCCACCAAAGTCTCAGTACTAAAACATGTGCAAACTCTCAGCTCTGTCATGTGAGATCTCCAGACAGTACATTCACAAAAAGGCTGAGCTTATTATTGAATAACGAGGAATCTAATGATTTGGATTTGTATGACACAATTAAAACACACTGTGAGAAAGGTGGATTGCTATCCAGCTTTACCTAAGGTACATTAGCAAATGTGATGAAGATATGTGTGAACCAAGCCATTTGCACTCCTTGCTCAACACTCCCTGGGCTTCCTCTCAGATTTACCCAGGTTTTATCCAGGTGTTACATAAGGACATTCGCCCTGGTGTCAGGCAACCGCAGTGCAACCAGGCCTCCCCCGACGAGCACAGACGAGGCCATGAGGATGGGGATGACCTTTGTGATGCCAACAAGAGAGCCAAAAAACAGGTTTCCCAAGACTGCAGCCAGCTTACACAGAGCGTTGCAGAACCCAAAGCCTGTTCCTCTGGGGAGAGAAGAATCAGGGACAGGAGGAGGTAAAAGGTGAGGAGAGAGTGTTAGAGTTGACTGAATTACCCCTGTGTTTTATGTGTATCTCTGTCCACTATATGTAGATCCAGTAACAAGTCTAAACAACTATGTAATCCAGTATGTACTCATCCATTGATTGCCTTCTCACCTCCTGACAGTAGGGAATGACTCAGTCGTGACCACATCAAGGGAATTCCAGGCAGAGATGCTCAGACCGTTGTAAAGGCACAACATAAAAATCATCATGGACTCACTGGTGCCAAACCACAAAAAGAAACAGCTGATGCCTGAGAGGACCATGGAGCCACCTGATGTACATACAAACACACACACAGAGCACAAGAGAAGGAGCAAGAGTTAGTACAAGTGACATTCATTCGATTAATGTTCAACTGAATTATAGGGCCTAATCAAAATCGCCTCTCATACTCAGTGATGGATGCCACACCCATACCATTAATCATCCTACAGTCAATGTGGAAACCAATTAATCAAGTGCACACACAAACATGAACCTCCCTCTTGACCTCCATTCTTACCTAACATGGACAGACGCCCAATTTTGTCCATGAGAAGGGCGGAAACAATGTTGCCGGGCAGAACAGCCAGGGTCCCCAGGAAGTTGATGAAGTATACCCAGTAGGCACTGTAGTCATCATCAAACGTCATCTGGCATCCTTTCTTATTGTGGGTGAATGTGCTGTTGATCACCTCTGTTCCATCTATCAACTTGGATTCATCAATATCTGCCCAAAGAATGCAAAAAAAGAGTCACAATGCAGTACGTTGTTGACTTGTCTCAAAGCTGTTTGAAAATTGTATTGTGACACTATAACTATAACAAAAAAAACTATCATAACCTGAACCGCCTTTAAGATTTCAGTCATATGCTGTTAAGTTGTATTCCAGTTTGTTCCCAACATCTCCTTACCTGTATTCCTTTTCTTTGTTTGCTTTTAATTCAGTTATTTTTTTTTTTTTCATTGTTTGTATGTTTTATTTTGCCTAATTTTCCTATAGTTGCAATAATATATGAAAGAGTAATTATGAGAAAGGTCTGTGGTGTAAAAACAAAATATATTGTTTAAATACTAAATAGTAAAAACTAATGGAAACTTGAACATTTTCTTTTTCACTATGACGACATTATTACCTGATGAATCTTTAAATCAGAAATGACAAAACATAAAGTCGATAGAATCCTGGAATCTCACCTGTGTTAAAGAAGAGAGCATCAATAAAAGTACAGTTACGGAAGACGGATCCCACCGATGTGACATCATCAAAGTAGCAGTTACGAAAGGTAGAGTCAATGAAGGCGACGGACCTCAGCTTCATATTGATGAATCTGAAGAAACACAGTTACATTCTGCTTTAAATATTATATTGTATAATATTCCATCCATCCGTCCACTAAGTTGACTTGTCCTACCGGTCGTTGATGAAGAGGCCGTTTTTGTGTATCTGGTTCTCCAGGGTGAAGTTGAAGGTGAAGTCTTCAATGCGTTCATTGTTGTGTACCTTAACTTTGGATGCATAGTCATCTGCCTGAAGGTGTTTGATGACATCAGGGAACCAGACTGACAGGCCATAATACCTGCAACCAGATGGATTCAGTAATATTAGGATCACAAATCGAAACACAACATGGACAGATACCTTTTCACTCAGTCAGACACAGAAGACCAGGAGACACTTGTGGTTTCTGTTTGATTTTAAAGAGTGTTTTAAGGGTGTTTTTTAATCTCTGGCTGCTTTCACTCCTATCTCTTCTCTCCCTGAGACACCAATGGCCAGTATTGATCCCCTGTGATTGATTTTGAGGCCGTGCGACTTCTGCACTGCAGAAAAACCAAGATGACAGAAATGTAATTTGTCCACAAGCCTGACTGCCTTGTGCTATTGTCTGACCAGAAAAATTAGACGCTGTTCGGTCTTTCTGTGACACAATTGACATCAGGAGGAAGCTCACCCGAACGACAGCGTGAACCACACTATGGCTAGTCGTATCATGTTTTCTCGCATAGGGTAGTTGAAGCACTTCAAGAGATTCAGATAGATCTAAAGAGAGATAACAGACTTATTACACTCCATGTGATAAAAAGACAAATTTGGGATTGAAGCAGTGGACAGAAATTCGTAATAAGAAAGAAAATGACCGGCTAGCAAAAAAAGCTGCTTTCTGCCACAATCAAATTAAGAGACAAACATTTACCCCATGTATTTCAGACTTTATCCGAAAGAAAAACTTGGAAACTCGGTTGCCAGACTCTGACTCCATTTCCACCAGTTCATCCAGTTGTTTGGGTATCTTGATCCTGTTTACCTGAGTAAGTAATGAAGAAATAGCACGACAATCTCAATATAATGGGTGCATTCAACATTCATAAATGTGACTGTGATTACGTAAGCAATATCATGATGTTACTTGTATTATGGTTTTTCACGTATCTTTAGTGTTTCAGAAATTGAAAGCATGACTACTGTGATAAAAATCGATGTAAACAGTGTGTACTACAGATGATGATCAATCCAAGAAACGTGTTGACTAAGAGGCTTTCCCACAAGTGCAGCTCACGAAGCAAATAAGCCTGAACGACACAAAACAGCTTTCAGAACCTTCATAACTCAGATATGATCCTGCGCCGTAAAAGCGTTAAAACCTGTCCCAGCGGTGGGAGAATATAAGCCTCTTTGCTTCCTTAAGCATCAGGAAACCCAGCCAAGACAGCATACAGCAGAAACAAACACTCACGGTGAAGACTTTCTCCGGTTGCCCACGCGCTCTCATGTTGGTGTCGTGGATCTGTTTGAGGATCATCCAGGCTTCATCGTGCTTCCCCACCTGACAGGAGGGAAAGTAAGAGAAAGAGAGAAGATAATTCATTGGAGCGGCACTGGTCTCGCTTACTTACGGACAGCAACACATCCACTATCGTATAAACTGTACATTAATATATTCCTTTCATTTTTCTAAGATGGGACAAAATGACGAAAGCCATGACAACAGTGACTCATTTTACTTCAAAAGGGTAATTATCCTGCAGCAGCAAACCTACTGTCACGGAGCTCCAGGCTTCTATTTTGGAAGCATGAGGCCTCCTCCAAGAGTTTTGGATGACTCACGCTGTTTAGTCTGATTAAACATCTGTTGGGAAATGTCCAAGTACTCTCAATTTGCCTGATGTATTATTCTAGAGTTGTAAAAACTGATAAGCAAGGACAGTGGGTGACAATGACACAGCACCACGAGGCAGCATTGTTGAAGATTGCTGATTCATGAGGGATCAAAACTGTTAGTTTCTAAAGCAACAATTAGGGAAAATAGCCTTACCTCAAGATAGAACCTGGGACTTTCGGGCATGAAGGTAAGTGCCACCACAGCACACACACAGGGCAGGGCACAGACGACCACAAACACCCTCCAGCTGTGAAACTGGTACGCTGAACCCATACTGAAACTCCAACCTGTAAACGGTGGCATACAACACCAATGACAATCAGATGGATGACATGGCAGAATAAAAAGTAAACACATTTAAATACTTGGGCGAAAACACGACAAGTGCTTCATTTACATTATCTTGCAAACAATGTTCCAATAGTGGGTAACATTATATTGAATGTCAATACACTGTAAATAATATGTTGTATAAGTCTGACGTATTCCTATTGAGTGGTGTGTTTTTTTAATTTGGCTTCTCCCTGTTAGGCATATTGTCCTGATTCTCTAATGATAATTGTCTCATATTATCGGAAAGCTCACAAAGCCAGACGCTTTTTTTAAGCTCACATATGCTGCTAATTGGTTTTTACTGCAACATTATATGGGGCTACTTTCTACCTTTTTGTCTAATTTATTATTCCGAGTTAACAGTCCGACTTAAAGCCCTATTTAATTTACATTATTTGCTCTCTCTCTCTTATATGGTATTACATCTTTTTGCTAATAAATATATATGTTGATATATCTTGGTGCTTTATAATAATGTAAAACATTCAAGTGATCCTGAAAATAATTGTTTCTTTGCCAACAAAATCACTGTTAACCTTTCTCGTCTTGGTTCTCGGACCAGACCACAATGCCAATTGATAAATTATACACTAATGCCAAAGTGCATCATTTGAAGCCAGCAGGTGGCTATTTAAGCAACGTTCAGCTCATAGGGACATAATAAAAGAAAATATGATAACTTAAGTCTCATTGCTTTGAAGAAGCAGTGAGTGACTAAATAATATTAAGTGCTGTGTACTGTGTTTCCTTATCAGATGGGGCCACTTGGATCTGAGAGGCTGATTCAAAATGTGACATGTGTGAAACTCATACTGTGAACACAAAGGGGCTGTAAATAAAGGATGGCTGTTAAATGAGAGCGCTACGCGGCCGGAGTAGAGTGGTGTGTGAGCTCAGAGATGAATGGCTCTGCAGAGGGGGCTGAGAGGAGTGCACAGGGACGGGTTAATTGAATGTGTAGGAAAAGAATTGAGTGTTTTCTGCTAAGTTAAATCTTGTTGCACCTGATCTCAGCCCGCAATCACTTTCCCAGACTCATTAATCATTGTAAAATGACGCACACACACACACACATATACACGCACCCAGAGACTTTAACACTCTCACAAAAGGGGGAGATGCACACATATACACGTGTACACAAAAAAAGCACCAAAATTAATCCCATGAATTACCATATTCAGATGACACGGCTAACATGCTGCCATAATGATAAACTCCCACCCACACATACACATGAGTAAATATACAGGCAAAATTACACAACATATGTTTTCCTTTTCCTCATGCAAAAAGACACTGAATGATTTTACAAACCATTCAGTGGAGAAAGGAGAGCAGAATATTACATAAAGACAATTTAGAGTTAGACATAATGAAAGACTTAAATTGTATCTGTTATTGTGAAGTTGCACAAACACACAAACAACCATATTCATGGTTCTTTCATTTTCCCTAAAGAGGGTCTTAAATTCAAAGTATTGTTGTAATTTAAATTTGTGGGAGAAAATATGTTCTCTCCAACTATGGAGTTATTGTGTGTATTGTGTACAGTTTGTTAAAAGTTACATAAAGGAATTCTCGTGATGGTAACTCAGAAGAACTTCAGTGTAATGCCACGTTCAAATTTGTATCTGTGCTCTCTTTGACTTCATTTTTTTATTTTTTTTTTGGGAGGAAGCACAGCAAGGGGTTGCCAGTCGTGACCTCCCACGTTTCTCTACAGATTGTGCTTCATGGAGATGCCGCTCCAAAGGGAAAAGCACCATTATCCATCAACAGGCGTAGGAGGGGAGTCAGGGGCGGGGAGGGGGTTAACGCTAATGGTTATGCCAGAAAAAAGCTACTTGGAATTAATCTCACAGCACATTCAAATCCAGCTTTCAAAGCAATGCATATCAACTGCTAAAAACCACTATTTTAAAATGGGGGTGGGTGTCTTATAAGTGGCATAAATGCATCCTATGAGACCAGAGAGATGAAAACGTCTCAGTAAAAAGCAGTAAAATCATAAACACAAAAAAAAAACTGCAAAAGGAAATAAGCAATGACCACCACTCTCATGGTGTCTTTTGTTGGGCAGAAGGAGTAATGACTTTTGTAGACAACGTCCTGCCTGTGTGTATTACTTTCTCTAAAGCCTTTTATTTATTTCCGTCTCTCTCCGTGCGTGTGTGTGCTTGAGTGTGTGTATGTCTGGAGTGACTCAGAGTGAGAGAGAGAGAAGTAAAGAGAGAAAGAGACAGAAAGAGACAGAGTAACAGAGAAAGAAAGGGAAGGAGTTGTTCAGCAGTGATTGCCTTTTCTACAAAAATGAAGCGTGGATTCCTGCCCCTCAGGGTTACTGTTTCACCATGCCATTGGAAATCTCATTACAGGGATTATGTACATAATTGACTAAATCTATGGATGACTGACTCAGCGGTGCTGCTATACTCCCGGGCCTAGATAGATAGATAGATAGATAGATAGATAGATAGATAGATAGATAGATAGATAGATAGATAGATGTGGGTATTTAATCTGTAGATCTGAGCAGTGTCTAATGAGGTTACTCTCATGTGGTGGGCTTTCTTGGCAGCAAGTAGAGTCCTCAAACTCCCCCATCAGAAATGATGAGGATCTGTGCCGACAGACCTCCTTCAGGGCCCCAGCTGTGAGTCTGGCAGGGGGCTTTTGGGAGACATTAGGAGTCAGCGAGTGGAGAAGATAAATGAGAGCCCTAATGGTGTATTAAACACCAGTTTTGAGGCACTTGTATCATAACCCATCACTGATACCTTTACGTCTTTGTTGAAAGACATCAAGTTATCTCTGCAGGTGACATTTTGGCCAACATATCGTAGGGCTGTTGGTTACTGCCACTGCAACACTTAGGGAAAACATAAAATCCACTGGTGAGTGCTGGAGTATGTATGCAAGACACGTAGTTCCCTCTGAGAGAAAGAGAGGCGGAGTGGTAGTGAGTGTCATAGAGAATAAGAGCAAAGTAAGACCACTACCATCCCTTCAATACGATATCAGCAGATCTGACAGCTGAGTTTCCTTGTTAAGACTTGTTCGGGTTTCAGAGGGTTGTATGAGTCCTTCACCGGTGTGCTTCTGTACAGCCATGTGAGCTTTCTGTATCTTTGCAAGTAACATGTAAGAAAACTGAGACGTCATTTATCGTATGTGAATGTGTTAATTAACCCAGATGTGAATGTGTTAACCCAGATGACCTCTTACAATGTCAGATATTATTCTCTGTAATTTCGCTTCAAGAAGACCTACGTATATGTGGCTGCAGCCCAGTAAAACATCATCCAACTTACAGCAACACACACACACACACTGTCTCTCCCACAATGACGTCACAGGTTGGCTACAGCATGGTCTGGCCATAAATCACCTCTAGCTGTAGCTTTGTCCTATTAGAGCAAGGAGAAAAACCTAATTATGCTTGATCAAGAAGAACACTTTGCGGAGACAGAGAACGGAGAGAGAGGAGAGGTAATAAAAGGAAGGACAGAGTTAGACAGAGAGATGGGCTGAGTACAAAACAGAAGGACCGGGGGTGGGGAGGCAGTAAAAGGAAGGGACAGGAGGTTAAAAAAGCAGGGTGATAGTGAAAAGAATACGAGTAGAAGAAGAGGAGAGGAAGAAAGCTTGTTCCCTTCTTTTTGTTTCTGTAAGTGCAGCTGATACCTAATGTGGTATTGTCATAAATCACAGCTTTCGCTCCCCCACAGGCCCACCCTCACCCTATCAGCTTGCTTCTGCTCTATGGTATCCATGCATACTTTAATCTCTTAACCTCTGCCTCACACAGCCTGCAGCCACTCAGAGCAGTTAGGCGATTGATTCCCGTGGCAGGGAAAACTAGCACCTTAACCGACAGCCAGACAGTAACCTGTAGTCAACCAATAAAGCTAAGCATATATTCACATAGCCAAGCTGGCAAAAATGTATCCTGTTACAGCCTTCAATGGATATATCTTTTATACAACTCAAAATTGGCCTTTTCTCTTTAGGAAGCACAATCCCAAGCAAGATGGGTGTACATCACAATATTGTCGAACTGATAAACTCACCATAGTGTGGTATGATGGCCCAAGCCATAGCAGATGCATAGATCTCTCCAATCATCCAGAACATACACAACCAGCTGAGGTGTTCTCCTCTTTTCTCCCTGGACAACACCTCTGCAAAGAAGGAGAAAACAATGGGCACAGCACCTCCTATCCTGAAAGAACCAGAGAGAATGAGAAAGTTAGTGGGACAGAGGCAGAAACCAGGACAGAAGCACAACTTTATTAATCCTTGTGTTTTACATATTTCATGTAGTTGCAGCCATGATTGCTTTTAAATCTTAATCCCTCAGTGTGTGGCCTGTTTTTCTTCCTTCAGGTCAAGAAGAGCAAGTCAAACATTGCCAAAGAAATTTAAATTTGATTAAATAAAAAAGAATAAAATACTTTATTCCGTCTTTAAAGTGACTTTTGGATTGTTTTTCATTGAACTGCAGGTTCATTGCTTATACATCAAAGAAAGTAAGAAAAGTAAGAAAAAATAAGCACAACTAAGCATATTTTTTCTCACCAACTACATACAAAAAATAACAGTTTAGCATAATTCAGAGGCACAGGTCGCATTGGCATCTTGGACAGCCTTTTCAATTACTCTGGATGTCTCTGGGGATAGTGGTGCAGAGGCAATTACGGAATTAGCTCTTAAAGGAACAGTAACACTGTCAAAGAAGAGGATGTAATAAATCACTGTCTACACACCATGTTCTGTAGTAAGAGGCTGACACACAATCTGTCTCTGGTAGAGTTTTCATTTTCACACACTCTCAAACACACTCTTGTTTTAAGAAATTCTAAGATTGCAAGAATGCATATTGAAGTGTTCTTTATGGAGTGAGAATGTCACTGGCAATAACGTCTTAGACACAGACCGTCAATGGGTTTTACTGCTCTGTATTGCAGCATTAGGAGAAAATTATATTTAGAGGGACAGATGTAAACCCTCTATGGTAAAAGAGTGAGAACCTACAAAGTTGTTGTGCAGCAGCAGAGAAAACAGCTTTACGTAATCATTACAGGAAATTTATTTCATCTGTTTTCAACAACTTCAACAATTCCTTTGTGTAAGTCAACAAAGGGAGTAATAATTAGGAAAGACAGAGACATACGGAAACATTCCTCAAATAGATGTAGCCTCACAGATAATGATTGTTTACTCTCACTGATTCAGCCCTTATGCACACCTTGACTTTGGACATTTTCTGCACATGTTCAGATAGTGTGACTATTCTGTTGCCAAAAAAAGGAGATTTTGAGGTGCCATAGTGACTTTTCACAAATCATTTATACGGACGGCTTGGCGTCCTCGTCAGTCCCCGGAATGACCTCGAACTTTACCAGACTTACCCGAAGCCTGCAAAGAGACGGCAAAGGAGGAAGAGGCCGTATCCCTGGACAAAAGATGACAGGAAGGCGAAGAAGCCGTTTGTGGACATGCAAATAAGGAGGCACTGTCTGCGACCCACTTTGTCAGACATGCCTCCCCAGAAAAACGCTCCAACCATCATCCCCAAGTAAACAACACTGCCTGGAAAGAGAAGGAGAGAGAAGGATCTGATTTTTGTTCACCATAATATACAATACATTACCTCACATCTCTCATATGTTTGTATGAGGTTGTATGTTTTGTTATCTGTGACCACAACAACATTTTGGAAGATTATCTCATTGGTCACCTAATGGAGATGATTTTAGTGCCAGCCCTCTCATCAGGTTTTATCTGTAAGGGAACAAATGAGTCACCTCCCGCAATCTTATTTTCACACATAATTTGCTATATTATCCTCGCAAACCTGCAATAATAGATTTTTTGGCCGAGCAGCGGAAACAAGCTGTGAACACATGTTATCAACTTAACAAACTTCACTTGGCAAACAGTTGCCTCTGAAAACATCCAGCAGATACGGAGCATAATTTAGAGTCGTGTCACTGGTGACCACCAGACACAAGTCTAATATTCACTCTCCTTTTAGCTCTGTTCATGTCTCCACTAACTTCTGTTAAGTGCTGAGCAGATGGTGTACAGTGGGTTTTATTAAGAGCTATTTGCTGAACATAACTGTCCACTGTGGCCGAAAAAACAATGTGAATGAACCTAAATAGTAAAGTTATACAATGACCAATTGTACGCTATAAAGCTCCGTAGAGCTGAGGGGAACTGCAGAGTCTGTGAGCTTGTCACTACCAGCAACACCTTTCACATATACAAGTGGTCATATGTCCATTGTTAATATAAAAATATTGATTACAGACGCTTTAACATGTTAATATAGTAACAGACTTGCACTCCAGAGAGATCTCTAAAGAGTTCTCTGCTGCAGCTTCTATTCTTAACAAAGCATTTCAGCCAAAGAACAACCTTGTCTAACGACACAGTGGCAAGGCCATCAAAAAACAACACACTGTCCCTCCCTGCTCATGGTTTGAACTGATGACCTTCACAGATTTTAGTTTTTTACTCTCATGATATTGCCATTCACCAAGAACATCATTCTTATTTAAGTGCAGTGGAATGACATTTTTCAAAGCCACTCGACACAGACTCTCAGCCAAGGAGAGTTTTAGGAATCGAGTCCTCTAAATGTGCCTCCGCTGGCAAATGGTGAAGTGTCAAATTAAAATATGGAGCCAAATTAAGCTTGCGCCTCCAAGGAAGTTATGTTGAATGACTGACTGACATATGGAATGTTAAACTTGATAGATGATCACGCCGTTTTGAAAAGGGTAAAAAATAGACTGCTGTTAGATGCAAATGCTGACATCACTCAAAATGTTTTATAGTTAAACACTTGGGGAATGCATGTGTTTAACTATAAAACATTTTGGTCAAATATTATTTGGTATATTACAGGTATAGTTTCAAAAACAAAGCAATAGTGTTCCTGCTATCGTAAAACTTGGTTCACTGACTGATGGCAATGAACCTGACAGCCTATTTGAAAACCCTCAGACCCAGTAACTCACTCGAACGTTGATAAGTAAATACAGTGTGTTAAAGACTGAAAACAGGCTCTGATCAATGGGGAGACAAATGTGAACAGTAATGCGGGGTGACTTTACAAAGGGGCCTTCTGCTCTCTTTTAATCTCTCTCATCACTAACGGGATCAATGCTCCAACAAAACAACATCGACTTCCCTCACTGATCATCATGATTCTGCTCTGGAGAGTGGAGCCTATTATACCTGCTTTAGGCTACATCGTATGTGGCATGGTGTGGTTAGCAGCCTCCGTGGACATGCAGTGTGTGCCGCAAAGAGCAACTCCAACTGGATTTGTCTCCATTTAGAAATACATTTTTTGAGGTTTGTGTTCCAGGTTAAAAACCCAAGAATAGTTTTAATATCAGATAATATTACAGTAATGTCTTGTCTTCCTCCATATTCAGACATATGCAGACACGTAAACCTGACTTAGAGAGGATACTTGTATTCCTAATTCCACCCACAAAAAAGAGAATGTGAAAGTTGAAGTCATATATGGAGTGATATGACTCGGCCGTATAGGGACTCTTTGTTCATCCCATTACAATAATCTTAATGCATTTCCTTTCTGTAATGTCTGCAATCAGGTCTCTTCTGCTCTGCTGTGAGCAGATATCTGTTTGACTCTCTCGCTTCAGGGGTCAAACCTCGTCTATCTGTCACATTTGGCAGCCATCTAGATACTCGCCTGAAGGGACCATAAATTCAATTCTGAATTTAACGGTCTTCAGTCTATGCACAGTTTACTTTTGCTTCATTAATAAGGAGAGGCTAGATGTATGGTGCATAGGGAAACACCCGCTGGCCAACCATTTAATTGTCATGCATTCAAACAACCAGAGGCCTTTTTATTTAGCACTCCACTTTCATACAAACAATAAAGGTTTATTCTTTTATGTTTTAGAGATACTAGCACAAAACAGACAAAAGAGAAATAACCTCTGATCTCTGTTACTTTAATGTCCTTAAAAAAAGCAATAAAACTGTTGACTAAGGAGTACATCCCTCACAGGACAGTCGATTACATAATGAATTTATTGATGTTCCGTCCGACTTGCTGCACGATATCTCTGGGTATGATGTCAGCAGTGCCCGCTCCAGGAAAGTGGAAAGTAGTGTACTGAAGGGTAATATAATCCCAAAATAGCACAGCCATTATGAGGTCTGTCTCATCAACAAAAGACAGTTTGGGTGGCAATAACCTGTCATGTCAGAAAATGATGCTACATATGTCTTCTGCCCCAAGAGGGATTTCTATATGATTTTATTATGAGTCACACTTCACCTTCAGTGTGATGTCATAGTGATAGAGTCACATTTTCTGTAGCTCTTGGAGTCGAACCAAGCAGTTAATATACTGCAGCAAAATCGTAGGTTGAAAAGCCCTTCACAGGAACGGACACACTGATGAGACATTCTTTACAAACCTATCTATCAGAATGCTAATTGTAGTTAGCAGTTGAGTTTTGCTGTCCTTTCTCAGACCATGGTATTATCATTTTTACACATCAACAAAAATCTCACTACATAGTAAAATATACGTGTCTGGGATGATGCCCTCAGTACAGTGCTCAACACACTGCAAATTAATAAAACATATGCAAATAGACACAATACAAGCAAATGAAGAAACATATTGTGAACAGTTGTGTTCAGTAATCCACATCAATTCAACAGTATAACCTACATCACCCGTGAAATGTCTCCACATTTCATTAGACTGATGCTCAGGCTACAGTAGATCAGTATGAACACACTGGAATTGATACCGTTGGACCACAAGGTTTCAACCAGTGTATCATTTAATATAACCCCTTCTCTGAGTGTTATCACTCAGTACTGTCTTAAAATTGATTTAGTGGGACTATACGTGAAGGTCCTTTCTTAGGCTTGTGGATTAAGAAGAAGGATACCCTCAATATACTTGAAACTGCAGAGAAATGAAATATAAAGGCTTTATACAGGAGAAATGTTCACTTTCTGAAGAACTGATAGGACACGTCAGAAGCAAAACTCCTTCAATGGATGTCAACTGGTTCAGACATTTCACCGTAGTGTGAAAAGCAGCTGAATGCTGGACTTGATGACCTATAGACTCTGAGCACCATCAGAAAATGACAGTGTGTCAGGAGACCTCTCAGGAAGAAGCAAAAGGTTTTGCCCCGTGACACTCCGTTGATATGTCAAAACACATCTCCCGGAATGGTTAATATTCAGCAAAATCACAGGCTCACAAATTCTAAGGAACAAGACATGTAGAGTAAAACACTGCCAACATCAATGTAAGGGAGAGGCTCAGCTATCATACACACACGCACACACACAGACAAACAAACACACAAAACCAAGGAGTAAATCTAATTCACAGGTTAAAATATTACAATCTCTTTTGGAGTAAAACAGCAACTGGTTAACTAGATGAAGGAGGGGAGATAAAAAAAAATGAAAATGTATACAGGAGCAAGCACAAATGCAAGCAGAGGAAATATGTGAGCAGCAGATGAAAGAGCAAAAGCAATGAAGGGTGGGGGCGGGGTGACAAAAGAGAGAAAAAGGTAATGAGGGAGGAGAGTTCAGTAATTGCAAGACAGGGTGAGAGAATGAGAGGGAAGAGGGGAGGAAAGGGAAGGCCCTGGTGTAGTGTTTTCTGTCCTTTCACATCCAGAGGAGTCCCCTGAGAGCCGTGGGAGCGCTGAGCTGCATCACGACCTCTTCTCTGATTTCATGCTTTGATGCTCTTCGCTCATAGCGCTACAAACTGCTTCGGCATCGCGCAAAACACCCGTCCTGTTTTATTCATAATGATGATACTATCACAGCATGCCTGGTGCGCGCTACAACAACGCTGTGGTGCCTCTCCCAGTTAGATATTTTCCTTCACCTTCTCTCTATTTCTGTCTTTCTCTCAATCTCTTCATCGCTACTTTGATCTTATTTTCCTCCTTCTCTCGTCCCTTAGCTCTTCTCTCCTTTTGTGCCTCTCTTTCCAACCTTTCCTCCATTTCTCTTTCTCACAGCTTGTGTCCACTCCCATTGCTTTCCAATTTCTTGGATCGCTTCTCACTTCCCTTCCTCATTTCTCCTCTCCTTCTCCCCTCTCCACTCCTGTTCCCCTCTCTTCCCCTCTGTGCATCCCTCTCATTTATTTGCCTTAGTTTCCTCTTTGCTTCACTGTCATCAGCTTCTTTACACTGAGCAGCGTGTAATCACATTTGTACTACATCGTGTCAGTTTGATCGGATTTATGCCTCCGTCTTCTGCCACCTCCGCAGAAAAAGAGATTGAAGCTTTTTGTCATATTTAAGTCATATCAGTGGGAGCAGGATTTCAATGAAATCTATATGAAAGTAACCTATTGTGGGGCTCAGAGTGCAGGGTTTAAAATGACTCACTCAGCATCAGTAATGATACAACCATCATTACACTAAAGACTGGATAATTCCCATGAAATATAGTGATGCTATGAACCTCTGATAAGAGCGAGCAGTTAGGGTTTACTTCTGGCTGATATTGCTGGTGGCAGCAGGTTTGGTCCATACACACTCACACACACACCCTCAGTCCTGTCATCCCCCCAACCAATCCCCACACACACACACATCTTCACAACCTCTACACAAGTAGTGTAATCTCTGCAGTGACGTTGCAATCTTACTGCAGTTTAGCCATGCTCAGCTGCCCCGGATCCACGCAGCCCCACACAGCCTGTCAGCTGGTTCAAACAGGCAGGGAGTAAGAGGGGGAACAACGGGTGAAGAATAGAGACAAAGAGGGAGATGCACTGTGAAGATGGACCTTGAGAGGAGACAGAGAGTGAAGCTGGTGACACAAGGAAGCCCAAGAAAGAAGGGAAAAGGTATAAGAGATCGGAGGACAGGGAAGTAAGGAAAAGAAGATTAAGTAGAGCGGAAACAAGAAAGGAGGGGGAAAGTATCGATGGCAGAGAGGGAGAGATGGATGGTTAAATGAAAACGAGGAGAGCCGAGTTGAGAGAGTCAGAGAGAGAAATGAGGGGAGTCTTCAGCAGAGAAAGGACAGCCTAAGAGAACAAATAAGTAATGATAGGGTGATGCGTTCCCATTGTCTGTTGTGGCTGAGATGATAGCTGAGCCTCTCCCTCACATTGTTGGTGTACTGAATACCACTAATCTCCCACCCCTTCGCTCCCATCCACCCACACCGCTCACCCCATCACTCCTCTCTAACTTGGCAATTTCTCTGCTTCAAAGCTGTCCCTCCTTCTCTCCTCTCCCCTGTTCATCACACGTATTGCATCTCCCAGTGCTTGTTTTCCTTCCTGCTTCATTCCTATGTCGTCCTCTCTTATAAAAAATATTTTTACAGTATTTCAAATCTCCCTACCACAACTCTCCATCCTTCATTCTCAAGAGGCATCAAAGATCCCAGCGAGATTGGGATATTGGTAGGACTAAAAGGAATTCTCTAATCTAATCAGCATTTTAGTCATCCATCCAATTCAGGCCTTTGTGTTACTCGAACTGCATTATCCCCTTACACTCCGCTCAGTCCGTGCAGCTCGCCCCTGTCTCTGCCTGTAAGTGTAATGGAGCTACACAATGCAACAATGAATGGAGTCCAACACAGGTGGAACTAACCAAACACCAAATAGCTATTTTCGAAACTGTAATTAAAATGTTTTTAAAATTCTCCCAAAAAATATAATTTATCTTAAGGTAAAACTAATTTGACAACTATTTTGGGGGGATTATGATTGTTTATTGCCTGTTATTCCTATAAAATGGCCAGTTCCACTTTACAGACATCATTGGCCATACAGTCAACCTGGTGCTTCCTCTAAAACGCTTGGAATCACCATCTACTTTAGTCAGTTCAATTACATGAACACAAGAAACAGGGTTACACTTTTTCACACAATTAAGTTTATAAAAGTGGTTACGATAAGGCTTTTTATTGTGTAATCCATCCTGGAAAACATTTTTTCTCTAATCCCAAAATCGCATTTCTTGTATAGCTACTGTACATGATGTTTAAGAAACCAGGTTACAGCAGCAAGTAGATTGCAACCCGATTACTCAAGTACATGTAAACACACTAAGGTGTAACGCAGGTGGAAAAATCTTCCTTCCAAGATCATAACAACTTATGTGCAGCTACAACCAACCAGCAGGTGTCCCTACTGCAGCCGCAACAAGGAATTGATCCCTAACTGGCTTCTTACATGCTAAACCTGCCAATTGTGGTAATTTGAACACACAACCAAGCCATGTGAAATATTGCTGAAACTGTACCCTGGTTATATGAAACATAAACAGTACATGAAAAATTAGACCATCCTAATCAAATTCATCCACAGACTGCACTTCAAGGTAATGAAATATTGCAATGGAACCTGAAAAACACCAACTCACTTCATTTTGTTGGCTTTAATCAAGAGTTATTTGTCTGGAAAACTCTAAATGGATACCAACAAGGTCATAGTAATCATGTAGGCTATGCTCACGCACACACACGCACACACACACACACACACACACCAATGATGTTCATCTCAACTGGGAGGAGCCTCAGGGCAATCAGTAGGAGAAAGGAGAGTAGAATGGGGGGAGGACGGGAGAAGAAGAGAGAGGCACATAGAGAATGGAGGGTGGGAGAGGGGAACAGAGGGTGAGGTTGAAGTCACGAACAAGGAGAAGCAGAGCGTGGAGCGTGAATGCCTGTAGGACTTTGCTTGGTGAAAGAGGAAGAAAAGAGTTTACATGGGTACTTGGAAAAAGACAGAAATATGAAGGTAAAACATCTTGAGAGGATTTTACAGTGACAACCCCCCGTAGAGCAACGAACTCTTGTATCCGATAAAAACTATGATAATGTAAAAGTACGGTGAAAAGATTTTATGCATGACAGGGTGTTTCTTATTTCGGATGTTGACCAACTGTTTCACCCACAACCTCCACTCTCCAAAAACTCTGCTGTATCAATTTTGCATCATATGTTGTGGAGCAGCTGATATATTGTCATGTCTCACCGTGGCAGTTAGTGTCTAAAGGCTGTGTGCCTGAATTAATGTCCTCGCCACTCTGGTACTGACACAGTGAGTCAGCCCCTGTATACAGCTCTCTGGTGATGGATTATACACCTGCAGCCATAGGGACTGCTGGGACTCCTGCTCAACACACAGAGCGCACAGGGAATACTAGCTACTCTCTTAATTCTGACACAGAGACCGAAACACATAGGATAAAGTGGGACAGTACGAACACACAAAACTAATCTTATCTTTAAAGACAAACAATATTGCACAGAAAGTAGCGTGACCCTTCCTTTAGTCCACTAAATACTAATTCAAACCATGATTTTCATATGTAGTATACTTACACACACAAATTGTTTGCATTTTGGATGTAGTTTTGTCTGAATTATTCAGTTATAGTGGAACTGAAATTGATTGAAATTGAAATTATTTTTAAATTCAGTATGTACAATGTCTTAATATTTCACCTGTTACCACCTGGTGGTCAGACTGCCACAAAAAAGAACTCCTCTGCTCGCCATAAACATGTTTTAGCTGGTGTTGCTATTAATCCTGCTTAGTTATCCATCATACTGATTAGAAAATGTCCTATGATTAGGTTGTTTCCTTGGGAATAACAAGGCCCTAAAATCTATGTGACACTTTTAACAGCATGGGGACCATCGATTAGTAAGTTAAAGGTGTACTCCATTGATTCAGTCCCCGTGTTCCACAAAGTTATTACACTAAACACAAAAGTATTTGCAGCAGAGGTCGAGATGTCCTGACTTTAAGGCCCTAGCATGGATTAAGCGGCAAAAACAAATTATCCTACATTTCCCACAATGCAATGTGTAAACCAACATCTTTCAAATTCCGCACCAGCAGCGTGGACTATCTGGTAAAATCATTTTATATAAAACCAAACCCTGATAACATCAGAAAAACATCATCAAGGTTATTTTCTCCTCCAGAGGCACAGAAGACAGTGGAGTGCCCCTTCTTTATTTTAGTTCATGTTGTAAATATACCCATTCCTTTTCCATATCAAAGTTGCATTGTAAAAGAGTATTGCAGGAAGTTGTCCAATAACCCAGAAATAAGTCAGCATTTTTGCACTTCTGGTGCCCTTGTCTCGAAGTCAATGTTTTTTTTTAATGGGTTTATGTTTAGATGCATACAGTCTGTGTTTCACACAAGCTGAATAGATTTTAACATTTTGTACTGAGATATAAAATAAGTCGGAAATACTTTCATGTATTTTGACTGACAAGTGGCTAAATGAGACTTCAAAATGTCATCACACCCATATATCCGTCTTTATAGCCTTATTGTGTATATAAACGCTCATGCAATCGTGGTTTAGTTTGTTTATAGCCCAACATTAGATTTTACTTCTGACTACTTAACTCTTCAAAAAACACTTTTATGGTTGTGAAGATTATCTTGCCGAACAAAACGTGCCAGTATTATAAACTACCATTTGTCACAGAGCTTATTATTAAAAACGGGGCAAAAATACCATTGGCTTTTAGTCGTGGGAACCAGTGCAATGCTAACTTCCAGGTTTGGCCTACAAATGTCATTATTTATCCCTGCAGCACTATATATTGTAAGTATGAAGTGTTTGGGCACTTTTTTGTCCCACAATGCAATATACAGTATATGAAAGAATATAGAATCAAGCCATTGGAAAACACTAATTAAAGTAATGAAGATTAATCAAACCATTTAAATAAAATAGGAAGGATTGAATATTTCCCTGTTAGCACATGTAGATGCATGCACACTCTGCAATACTCAAGACATGAAGGGTCCCTTACCTAGCCATCCCGAGCTGGAGTTGGGCACACACATGTCTGTCTCTGCGCTGGGCAGCACAAAGCCCACCACGAACACCTCCACCCCATCGGACATGAGTGCCAGCCCGAGCACCAGGAACAGCTGCCACTGGAATCTCCCATGACCACACTCCTGGATGATCAGCTCGTACTGTTGGGCCAGCTCCTCCTCGTCCGCCTGTCTCTCCTGCTCCAGTCCCTTACGGTCCCTTGTTGCATCTGACATCGGTTGCCCCAGTGCCACTTGGCCCTCCTTTTGCTTGCTATCTCCTGCCGAGGGGATCCCCTGGTACTCGCCCTCATATATCTCATCCTCATCATCGTGGCCTTCTGTTGCATCGCTGGAGCCCTCCTCGTTGTCTCCGTCCGGCCTCGGAGGGTTCCGGTAGAAATCCTCATCTTCGTCCCCCTCATCCTGGAATCGGCTGTAGTTGTGGTGGGATGTGTACTCATCTGTGGCGCGGTCCACCACCTTGTTGACTTTCTTAGTTGCATGCCGCTTGGCCTCCTTGACCATGTCCTTGGCCCCCTTAGCCAGGGAAGTCCTGTTATTGTAAGTGTCCTCCATTCTGGCTCCACCAGTAGGTCTTCACGGGGGTTCAGAGGATACTTAGAAGTAGAAGAAAGAGGGGCAAGAGGGGCAAGAGGGGTGCCGTACACTGACGGGGGAATTGCAGAAATGGTGAGATCAGTGGGTCTTGAGATGCAGCAGGGAAGAAAACTCTTGAGTCAGCTGTCACCACAGGAGATAAACCACAATGACGGTGGCAATCATCGGCCAGGCTGAGAGGGATGGGGGAAGAGTATACGAGACAGACAGATAAAGAAGAGAGAGAACAAGAAGGAGGAAGGGAAAGGGAGAGAAAAGAGGGAGATGTTCATCAGATACTGCTCATAACTCATCTCTCCCATTCTATATTCATAACTATCCCAGACTAACAGGTGACACCCCATAAACAGCACATGCCCTCTTTAATCATTCCCTCCCAGGTTTTTTAATCATTTGGAGTGATGTGAGAAAAAAGGGTTTTGCTGTATAGCATTCAGTTTTTATTTTAAATGAATATTACATTTTCACGGGCGTTTTATGTTTCATAAGTTAGACTTAGTGTTTTAGAGGTTAGTATTTTATACAGTGATGCTGAAACTGCTGACTCATGATCAGCTCTGTGGAGCAGAGGCTAATAAACAAGGCTCTGCCTGAAATCAATTTGCCCCCAATAAAGAGCTGGTTTATTATAATGGAGTGACGATCCAACCAGAACAGCACTGTCATATTTAATCCGTTCAAAGAAAGGAGGTAAGGAGAAATGGTCACGAGTGGATATGTAGATAAATGCACACTCAGACACAGACTCTTCGTAGAAACCACCACATATGCAATAGCTGTTCTCCAAGGCCTCTGAGTTTGTGTAGGCAGGTGTTCAACACACAAAATGAGTCACACGTACTTGTAAGAAGCACACATAAATAAATACAGAGAAACTCCCTCACACACTTAAACATGCCATGCACATATGTGAGTGTGCGCTCACAGCATGGATGGGGAAGCCCTTTGCTATCTTGGCAGGCCAGTGCTGATGGGAGGGAGACCTCAGAATAGCAGTAGGACAAATGATGTAACATGGTTTCATGTGAGTGTCAGAACTGCGATTCACAGTTCATCATCGCATTGCCTCCACATGCTCACTCTGGCTTGGTTATTCTAAAGTGTGTCATAAGACAGAGACACAACCATTATTAAAACACACTAAAGATGATGAGGAATGTAGTCAGATAAATGAGAGGAATCCTAATTTAACTATGTCAAACATTTCAAGACAAGATAAAGTAAATACTTAAAGTAGGGTATAGATGGTCATAGATGTCCAGTGTGTGTGTGTATGTGTGTGTGTGTGTGTGTGTGTGTGCGTGTGTGTGTGGTCAGAGCTGTCCAGTGTGTGCGGTTCCCGTGTGTCTAGGAGCTGCTCACCACAGCCTCTAATGAACACTGAAGCCTTGTCAGGAGGACACAAATCACAGGGCCGGCTCCAGCTCCCATAATGCAATTTTACTAGGCAAAATGACACTGCTGATTCAAGGTGACTCTCTTAATCCCTTTTGGCTCATTGGGTGACTTCTGGGGTTATGAGCACACCCTTTTACACATGGACTGATCTTTGTTTAATACCTTAATTGACACCGGTGGTGCCTAAGACACCCTTTACTCCTAAGGATGATTAATAAAGACTGCTTATTAGAAATCTGTTTGTTTCCTTTGTCCAAATGCAATTGCTCATTGCTGAGGTGCACATTACAAGAGGTTAACTTATGATTAGTGGCATGATTTTTTCTTTTTTTCTCTTGGCCCTGTACAACAATATCTACTGCATAAGATTGCTATCGTGCATTAATCCAAGATACATATTGTAGGATTTCTCAAAACAGTTCTTCTTGAGCGTGGAACATTGTAGCTTCTTGTTATGTGAGGAACTCATCCATTGACTGCATCTTTGAAAAAAAAATGTTTTTAATGCTAACACCCTGCTAGTAGCATAGCAGAGTTCAGTGGTGTCAATTAACTAATGCTATTTATTGTCTCAGGATCAGGTCATGTTAGCTATCACACATCATTTTTCTTTAAAATGAGCAGACACACATACACATCGGCAAAAGAGGATACATCCTGCCTGTCAGAGAATCAATAGAGTGTATGTTGAGTCACTGTCACTGGTGATGAAGCTCAGAGGACACCCGAGCACACAGACAACCAACCTCACCTGACTGCAGCTGACGAGGGCAATGGGAGCATTCACAACCAAACTGGGTAACCACCATCACTGCCAAACAAGCCAATCTCTGTTTTATTCCATGATGTCTCAAAGCCACTCCACTTCTACTGCAGCTTCTTTATTTTTTGCTTCCCATTCAGGCTTCCTCTTCAGCTTCCACTAATGCATGTTTGTCAGAAAATCGTAATTTTTCCATTTAAAACCCTATGTACACTTTTAAAACCATAACCAGTTGTAAATCCAGCATTCATAAGTACATATATGTATCATCTTTACCTCATTGCCTATGTTCAATTCACACCATCATTACTTCGCTTCATGGCAACCACACAACCACACTTGTATATTTCTAGTGATAACGAACCAACATTGTGACAAGTATATGTATTGAAGCATAAGGAAGCTGCATACACTGTCCTGCAGGGCATAGCTGAGAGTTGATATAGTGCGTTGCTGTGACCCATGTGAAGATGGCTGAAAATAGGCCTTGCTCTGGCAACAACCCTGTCTGCATGATGGATAGCGGCCCTGTTTTCCTTCAACCTCTTTAGAATATTAAAAAAACACGAGATCAAGTATCATTTGGCCCCTAATGCATGAATGAACATGAAGACAAATGAAGAGATTAGAGTTGCACAGACGTTTTGGCCATGCATCCAACTCAGGAAAAGTAATTTGGGAGAAGTTAAATGCTTAATGTTAATATCCAGAGTATGTGTGTTTGACCTGCTCAGCCCATTTCAACTCACTCTTTCATTGCTTATCATGAACTCATTAGCCAAAAGTGGCACAGTAATAAAGCTGTTAATGACCTTTTTGAAAGAAAAAAAACATTGTGATAATGACAGTGGTTATGAACACCCTCAGTCTGAAGAATGTAAACCGTAACTGTAATTATCAGCATAGTAAAGACTTTGTACAAGCAATACACTTTGTCAAAAGGATGGATGTCATTGTTTTTGGCAATCTACCTTGAGTCCAGCAGTCACCAAACAGATTGCTATGGGCCAGCAGGTTGTTAGAATAGGAAGTAAACAATCAATGCTGGTCCTAGAATTTCAGGTTTCTTGACCCTTAAATGCTGAAGGAGACAAATACTTTATATTTTTCATGAGAACTTGAAGGAAAATCGATAGCGCCTTTTTGGCTGAGTGCAGTCCTGTAGTCCAGACCTCGATCCCTACACAATAAAAAAAAAATGAATGATGCAAAATAATGAGAGCAGCTGAGGGCTTGTGTCAGTGTCCTTCCTTTCAATGACATGCGCAAGCACAGTGGCTTGGCGGCTGGTTTGTTCTATTAGCATCAGAAAGAGCAGGTCCAATCTCTTAAGTGGGCAGAGCCGCATGTAATCCCATAAAAACGGGAACCCGTGACCTCATCTGGAAGGCAGAGGCACAACCAGCCCGGGACGTCTTCCGTTAGGAAATTTCATCAAGCACTGATGCCATTACTGACTGAGTGGTGGTGCAGGGAGAGGATGGGTGAGAGGTGGGGGGTATGAGAAGTATAGAATAAATGGAGGCAGGGCAAAAGAATGTCAAAAGAGAGGACAAAATTAGTTGCTTCTGCAAATGGAGACTAGAATATAATGATTTCCAAAAATCTTTCAAAGCACACAAACCGTTAGAGCTCCACCACCCGTGACAAAAACTTCAAAGCAAAGCTGATTGCACATCATGCTAATGTTACATCATTCAGATTCATAAAACAGCTACAGCAAGCTGGCGTCTGCCTTTCCTACCTTGAGGAGCTAGCATTGTTAATATTGACTTTAGTCACTTCTATGCACATCCTATAGCCAAGGAAAAGGGAATTCCCCTGTTTGTATTAATATTGTCACTATCCAAACATAGATTGAAATAATAAAGGACACAGAATCTGGATACTGGATACTGGATCCATTGAAATCATGAAAAGGCTGGTGTCTATTTGATCTTCTTGGTAAACATATGGTCTCCCTGCCTTGCCAGACCTCACTGCTGACAGAATACAGGGCCTACAGATACAAAACACAATGTGCCACCACCACAGTCTGGTGCAGACCTTACCCCTTGTGTTGCAATGACGCAATAACACCGATTAGGCAAGGCGTGCAAGGTGCGGCACATTTTGTCAAAAATTGTGCCTGCAGTTCCCAAATTCTGGCAGACATGAGGATGACAAGAAGGTTCTTGAATGCAATGTTAACTATAATTTTGGATTTAACTTGCCCCTAATCTGTTAATTCCCTATTTGCCTGTGCATGTCAACAAAATGTGCAGACAGAATCTTTTTCTGAAGCTCTTATATTCTGTACATTGTCACTGGAACAGCATACTTTGTACTTTACTGTGAAACAATAGAATATAAATTGTCATCCTCTCAGAATAGCCTGTGTGCTGCATAAACTTTAGGAAAACTAACAAAATTCCAGATCAGTGGATGCTCGAGATGGAGATGTTATTGAATGCAAATAAGAGGCATTCTGAATTCCAATAAGATTCTTGTTTACGGTGGCAGAAGAAAACTAGAAATCAATGAGAAGTGAGCCAAAGGAATGGATTCTGCAACCTGCAATCACTTACAAGACTTTTTCATTGGGTCGCATTCAGTGTTAACACAGCAGGACTACTACAGCAGTCTTCAGATTGCAAACAAAGCACTTCGCCACAGATTTCCAGTTCAACGGCTGTGTGCCTGTCAATCGCTCACTGCCTCGTGAGGTGCAATTCACGGATGAGTCAGTTGCCTGCTCCGGCATCCTCTCCTCTTTTTGGCGCCAGTACAGAGTGCTTTAACTGCCCCAGGGCAGGTGGCTGGATTGCACTACATGCACAGTCCTCAGCCAACAACCTGAAACTCTGCCAAGGATTTCACTACACATCCTTGTTGATAAAAAGTAAACTATGAGCTTCAATCAGTGATCATCATACACAAAATAACCACTTAAAGGTTACAGTTCAAGTAAGAAAATGCATTGATGGACCATATTCATGTAGCCTGTAGCTCACTATGTTAAACCCAGATGTACATAAATAATTCAGAGAAGCGTGTTACCCTTAAATACTGAATGAATTAAATTCCACAATATAAAAGGTAGCCTAAGGAAACTGGAACTGAAACATGTATTAGTAATATAAGGCAATTATTGTGCCTGCTTTCACTTAATCATGCCAATTTCTCTACTTTTGCAGGAGGAAAATAGTGCACCCTCAGAAAAAACAAAATGCCTGGAAACCATCCCAACTTTTAACAAATGATACACAAACTCGTGAATAAATAATGATGTGTCCCAGTTTCACTCATGTTAGTTGGATATAGCCTATTATTGGAAATACATGAACAACATGACTTGTAAGTCCTAAGACAGCTAATCACAAAATACTTTACTGAAAATAAAAAAAAATTCTAACTCGGAGGTGTTACAAAGTCAGCATGTTTCAGGGGAAAAGTAGTAATTAGGCTACTTACCGTCATTTATGGCGAGCAGAGTGAACTGGGCTGATAGTTACCCATTGCATCAGACTCCACTTTCGCTTTAGGGGAAAAAAAATCTTGTGTTGGTTTTTTTTTTACTGTAGAATAGGATCAGAGGTAATTGCCAGCGCACGACAGTGAGTTTGTTTTTTCGATGCAGTCCTCCGTCGCTGCAGTACTCCAGGAAAGGAGAGAGCGAAAGAGAGAGAGACGGTGGTGGGAGGGAGGAAGAGAGGGAGGGAGGGAGAGAGAGAGGGGCAGTGTAATCAATGCTTGTATTTCATTGAGTGATGCGGGTAATTCCATTTGATGGAACAATCTAGTTAGGTGACTGAATGACGTGAAACGCTGCAACGCATGAACGCTAAACAGATAAGAAATGTCGAAATTTAAACAGGCTTCAGCCGGGGAGTCGATGTTTGCGCCCGTTCACCACGAGTGAAAACCCACTGAACGTATGAATGTGACGGATTATCAATGCAGGAGAATGCTTAGTACATGTTTAAAAAAAAAAAAAGACCTGGTCTTATGCTTGGGGGGAAAGTTGTCCGTTTAGGAAACAACTGCTGCTCACTCGGAAAGTTTGTCACAGCTTCTCATGTGAGTTTATCTTAGATCTCAATTCTGTGACAGCAGTGATTCCTCTTTTTAGCTTTATTTTTGCAATTCAGTGCGTTCACTCATCTGTTCTCAACTTCAGCCATAACTGCTTTCATCAAAGAGCTGTCTGGGACCTCGCCTTGATATGCAGAGTCAACTCTGAAGCAGAACGTTGCATTTCAACGATCCCTCCACATCTGCTCTGTATTAACTCCCTATTGGATTCCAGGTTAGATTCACTCATACAGAAAGAGAGAGGCTCAAAGGCTCAAATTAAGATAATGGATCAGAAATTAAAAAGCTTGCCGTAAATCGCATTGAACCCCAATCCATAAATAGAAAAAAAATATGTATTAAAAAAAGAATGTGACCAGACATGTTATTCACTATACAGTAGATTTAGGCTCTGCTCACCTTGCATGTTGTTCACATCTGTATAAATGGTCTCTACTTGAACCCCTAGTGGGAGAATATTCAATCAAAGTGGTTCTCCTATAGAGCTACTTCATCCTAGGCCACAGGTGAATTTGTTAATGACTAAAACCTGAACATGTGCAATATGCAGTGCTAGTACACCACCTATTCTGAATTTATTAAATCACATTCACATCACATTCATAACTCATTTTACACAATAAAACCAGCATAAGTGCTTCCATCTGTTTACAGCTTGTGGTCAACATTTACAGTTCAGGTATTATGTTTTAATTTAATTCACACATCACTGAGTTTAATTTGTACATCTGTGCAGTAAGTAAAGCCCTTGATTTCTTCATGCTGTTTTAGCACAACAAAACACTTAGATTCGTTCTATGCCCAAAAATACAGACCACAGGGGGAATGATACGATTGAGGAACACCACACAAAGATTATACAATCCTGTTACAATTATTGCATAACCTAACACAGGCTCTCAGAGATAAGTAGGCTTTTTAGATCATGTGTGAGACATTGACTGCCTGTGTTCCTGCTATGTCAGATCCTAACGCCTCTGAAACCTGCGAGTGGTTCCTGGAGAAAGTGAGGGAGGGAAAAGGGAGATGACGGTCTGATGCAAGCACGGGGACATTCAGCCTTTCAGTATTCACATCATTAAAGCCTGCAAAGCATACCAGCGCTACCAGTGAGACTTGTTCTGCTGCAGAAATGACGACCAGCAAACGCTTTGATATATTGCACTCTGTCCATCGGATTCCTTTTTCGCGTTTAGAAAAAATAAATCTCAATAGCTTCGTGTTATAATGCTTAACATGTAGGACATGCAGTGAATAGTGCAGCCTGGTTGTGCATTTGCTTACAGAGTTTAAACACCAAGACATGGCTCTGACACTGGTTGTGAATCATATTCACTGCAAAGGATACTGAATAGGATTGTAAATGTCGCATACAGTGTGCACACAGAAACACAAAACCGTGCAATGGCACACACATACACACACACACACACACACACACAGGTAAACAAAAGGAAAGGCATCTATCTTTATCCTCTGAATTTGATGATTCACAGAAGCAGTGACCTAGGGGCTTGGGACACTTCGCTTTTGATTCAGAGTTCGGAGACAAACCCCCCTCAAGCCTTAAGACTCCATTTACTACTGCTGGAGAGCTGAGGAGCACTTAGCTTAATGTACGGGACAGTAGAATGACCCTCACACACACACACACACACACACACACACAGTCCACTGACCATGCAAATGCTTTCTTTTTCTCTTTTCTTGTAAGACTTATACTCTTCTCTTTGTCACATAAACATGCACACAAGCATAAGAGCTGCTCATGAATTTCATTGGCTTTTTATTACTGTGAAAATACAATAAATGTGATATTCATATATCTCCGAGAATAGCAGTCAAGTTAATCCCCATGTCACAGTAAATGTAGCCTGATATTGGTGGGAGGTAATAAGACAGTGACCATGTTGAAGTGGCATAAAGCCCTGCTAAGCGAGCAACTCAGACCCCTCAATGCCCCGCTAGGTATCCCTCCCATCTTCCCTGTATGAACTAGGTGATGTAAGATGTACAATATCTATAAGAACATACAAGATTGCATCTCTTATAGCATTTTGCTTTCTTCACATAGATTTGAATCTGCTTTTTTTAAATATTTATCCTACTGCCTTGAGATCTAAAATATATGTAGTGCCTGCAGTGCCAGCTTTCCTTAAGAAATGACTAGAGAGGTGGAGGTAGACTGGAACAACTGTCTGCTGCTTATCGTCATCCAGATTATAAGAAACGGATGTGGACACTGATGGTAATTGTTTTTGCCTTGTGGAGATAGAGGCTCAGGCTAACTGATTTAGTCTCTATCTTTCCTCTCAGCCTCCAGTCATATGACCACTTTATGCTGGAGTCAGCTTTTATTATACTATATGGATATGTTACGTAATAATGACATAAATTATGTGCCTTGTCGTCTCTACCTGGTTGTTAATATTATCTTATCTCAGTGCGAACAACGCGGCCGTGATGTTTTTACAAGTGCTGGCAAATTCTGTACCCAGGCATTCTTAAAAGAAAAACAAAAAGACACTGGTGTCTCTGACAGAGAGATGTGATGGATTAGAGTGGCCCATGGGGGAAGTCCTGGTCCATCAAAATGTATGAAAACTAATTTGAAAACAGCAGGCAGCTATGAATAACTCTAAGATGAGTTCTGGCAGTATTGTTTTCAGTGAGAGGTCATCATTGTCTCATATGTGAGAAAAATGGGTTGATAACATTACGATTGATGATAGCACATTAGTTGTTGTCTTCAGGAGTTATGCTGTCTGTAAATAATACGTCTGACTGAAAATCGATCAAGGGCAGAAACAATTTTACACCAAGTTTGCATTCTAGTTTCACAACCGGGATGCAAAAGATGAAATGACACATGCACAAAGTAATACAAAAATATTTTTGTATAAAATAATACAACGGGGTACCATATTTTGGACTCTCTTAAAATCAAAATAAAGTGTGCGTAAAAGTTCCTTAACAAAGTTAACTTGTATAAGCACAGAACATTATTTCCCAATTTCTGTTCTGTCTACCATTGCAAGGTCCTGAACAGTCTAACGTACCTGAGCTAAAATACCAGGGGGAAGAAAGTCAAATGGATTGTGATTATTGTCCTGGAACAGATTGAACAGGCTATGAGAGAAGAATGTGAGCTGAATCCCATTTCAACACACAAGCCCAGGTGCATTTATTTTGCTGAAAGCAAGGGGAAATTTACAAAAGGGATCTAAAGAAGGGTTAGAGGCAGCAATACTGCCTTTAATCTAACCACTATCAACAGTAGCGTATTACCTTTGTCTGCAACAAACGGAAAACATTATACAGAGTGGGTACAGAATACAGGTCTGTCTCGTCTGTCTGTATCTTAAACTCAGTTCTAAGCTATTGTTTATTATTTCATCTGTTGGTGTATACCAGATGAACAGTTGGTTATTATGTATTGTGCTGTTAAAGTACTCTCATAAAGCATACACAAACCCTGCAGTTGTCTGTGCCTAACCAGGTATTGTTACAATAACTTAATAAAAGCAGACAAGCATAGGAAATTTGCAGTTTAGCTTCAATGGCACAATAAAAATGCAGAGAACCGAACAAGCTAAGAAAATCAACCTAAAAGAGAAACTGTGATGAACACATCACCAAAACCTTTCAAAACATTTGAATCATCTGCTCTGAAATGGAAATACGTAATCTGTGGGAGCTATGGCTTCCTGTCATTCAACAGGAAACCTCCACTCCCCACAGAGCAGCAAGGATTATCCTCTGTGCCTCACGATTCTGGTTCAAATTCATAGCCTGCGTCAACTGTCAAGACATGTATATTAAAAGGTGTGTGCACTGAGGGATGTCTCAGCCAGGCTTTGCTTGCACTAAATGATAATTCTCAGTTTATTTAGAATATATTTGATATGAAATGAATCATTCAGACCTCTATACTGTGTGATCAGCTGGCCAGCTGTCAAACTGCTGTTTTGGGGGAAATTACTGTACTGTCACCACTGTCATAACCATGCATTGCTTATTTTCAAAGTCAGCCTGCAGGTCTTATGACAATGCTGACAGTGAAATACTCTCAGCACTCAGCCAGGTGGCGAGGAGGCTCCAGTCCAACAGTACTGCTTGCAGCTCTGCCATGGAGGGACCATATGTCTCTTCTCTAGAGCCTGTCCCAGCACAGCACTGCCATGCCGTCAGGCCTATATCCCACATATGTGTCTTAATATTAAGCACAGGGTCTTCAGGGGGTTGAGACATTCCTGTAAATCAGTTTGTGAACCATTGTCTCCTCTGTGTTTGTCTAAGTGAACAACAGAATATGTGGCCCTGGGTAGATTCACAGGGTGGTGGTATTCCCCAAGGACTAAGCTTGCCTCTTGGGACAATTTTAATCAGTTAATCTCTATGCATAATGCCAACCTATTGATGAAACACGGTTTGTGAACCATGTTTGCTCCCTGAATGGGCACAACTGACAATTGAAGATTTTGCCTGAAATGATTTGTTTCATACGTCCTTTATTTTAATTTTCATAAGATTATAAAAGTAATAAATTAATTAACTACAAGTTCTCCTTTTATGACTCGAGCTTGAAACGTAGCATGTGATACTGTTAACTGGTGCCGCCACTGGCAGTCAGACTAATTGTGTGCTAAATGAACTATTACTATTAACGTAAAGCGGAGACTGTTGTTTGTAGTTTGCTGTAGTCGCTCCACACCAGCAGCACCGCTGGTCAGCTGATCTCCGCGTTGTTCCGCTTACCGTTACCACGGAAACATTGTACCCAATCAGAGACGATTTAGCCAGGAGCTGAGGAAGCAGTAGCCAATCACAGAGTATGTTGTTTAACAGTCAATCGGTTTGAAACGGAGAAGCAAGCGTTTTCTAACTGACGGAGTAACTTGGGACACGAGAGTGTGGTGGCCCGCATATAAATATAAAACAGGTAAATATGTGCGCACTGTTTGGCCTGCTGCACATCTGTTGTCTGTGTCAGGCTGGGTCCGTTATCTCATAGTTATATTTTACTCATAGAAACCGTAAAACAGCACTAACGCCACTTGCTCCAATGAGTTGTGTATTTCTTCAGCGTTGCTTTCAAAAAGGAAGCGTGTGTCTCTCTTTTGTAATGTTATGCTAACTTACGTTAGGTAGATATTCGTTTATGCGCATGTCTACCAGAAACAGCGTACGTTAACCGTAGAGAAAGTTACACTAGCATATAGTGTCGTCTTGTTTCAGTCTGATGTTTTGTAGGTTGATTTAAATACTTTGTTTAGTGTGTTTAACAAACAATACTTGTGAGAATTTACATTTGGCTGCCAAACCACTGGCAGATATGTTGTAAAATGTAGTTGTGATTTATTTATTTTGTCTAGATGTCCTCAGACGAAGAGGAACCGAGCAGTCCTGTTCTGCCCAAGGACTCTGATCCGGGCAGCTCTGTCTCCTCTGATCTTCAGGTAACTAAAGATAAAACACTTGTGCACTCTTCATATCTCTCAGATCTGGGAACACGGGGGCATTGTGTAGCACATCTTCACAGTGAAGTCGGTTTTGGCAAGCAGCGCATGCAATCAGACACGTTTTAAACATGCAGTTTAACAATTCAAATTTGGAGGTGAAAACAAAGGTAGGCATGCCAGAAATGTATATTTTAACTGCGCTTTGCATTGTAAAACGAAATGTTTACTATTTTTTAGTATGGTAGATCATTGAAGCTGAAGCCAGAGGTAGCGCTGACAAATGAAATGGATGTTTGCAACAGGCAGTTTGAGTACTAACTTTAACATTCACTATAGTTTTCACTTCTCAGTAAGTGATTTGGAGCTGACTATTGTTTTGTTTATGGATCAACAGGACGAGTATGAGGAGCTGCTCCGCTACGCTGTTGTCACCCCTAAGCTTGACAGACTCACCAGTGCTCACTTGCAGCAGCGGAGCACCTCACATCTGTCTGCAGAGGGTCGGACTCAGAGAAAAGAGGACACAACATCACTGCGCCCAGCAGGTATTTTGGTATTTTATCTCTGTTGCATGCAAGACACATATACACACACACACACACACACACACACACTTTCACACACACGTGTAGTGTACATCCACAGAAAGATGATGAAACTGAAATGACATAATCTGAACTAATAAACTTCATTGAGAGACTGCCCTCAGGAACCTATAGGTCACTTAGTGGTTGAACTCTGAATTTACCATGTGCCTGGACATACTCAGAGCAGATAAGACTCTTGACACTCAAACCATTAAGGTTGAGTCTACCATGTTTGATGACCGCACCTTTCAGATTTTTACGAGCAGCTACATTCCTGAGGGACACAGAGACATAATCAATTGTTAATAAACAACTTAAAGAAACTTATATTTGTTCCTTGTAATTTATATATAAATATTTTTAGTGTACCTCAGAGTAACAAGCTCACTTTATTTGTAAGCCATTCACAAATGAACCCTCCCTTAACCTCCCATCTGCCCATCGGAACCCTGAGGTGAAACAATACAATTTCCAAATGTAAATGGGTTTGATGTTTTAAGGCAAAATAACTTTAAGTCAGGTAATAGAATAATCTTAGATAGAAATATCTTCGACCTCAAGATCTAAATTCAATTTAAATTAGAACTAATATAAAATTCCCTCACAATCTTCCCTGGTGCTTCTCAAACTCTCAACTGCTGACGATGCATAAATCGTCTTCGCTAAGTTTCTTGTAAAAACGTCAATCGTTGGATTTATTTGATAGACGTCAATCAATTATATGAGTCACTGATTCTACCTGGTCACATGCAATCCTTTTCATTTGTTGTTGGTTCATCGTTATTCATTGTATCCTTCATAATATTCTTTATTAATTTCATTCATTTTGTTTATTTTGTTGTTTATTCATTTGATTGTGTGTACATAACATAATAGGTCCCTGTACACCATGAGAAGAACTCCGTAGCAATCCTGAGATTAAAATTTACTTTACATTTTAAAGTTTTCCCTATTAATTGGGTGGCGTCCTAAATTTAGTCTTATGTTAAATTCTGTTAGTTAAGCTAATGGTGTCGTATCGCGGAAGCTGAGTACCATGATTATTTTATGATCATTTATGGGTTTATGATTCATAATTTAGTTATTAATAATATTTACATATTTCGATATTCATTAATTATTATTTATTAAAACTGCTGCAAGCAACGACGCCACACACTTTTCATGATAAGCCTTTTTGACAGAAACACAACTTGAGCCCTTCCAGAGACTGCCCTCATCAAATGATCAGCTGTCAAAAGAGATTTGGAATCACAACATGGAAGAATGTAGTGTGTGTTTATCAGCCTCATATTTTCAGCTTGTAAACCAGTCTAGTCGAGATGCATATGATACGAGTCTGTGAGATTGTATGCCCTATCTCTTTCCCCTACCATACCCACATTTTAAACAGTCCATCAGCCCCACCACACACACACACACACAGCTGCAGCTGTCACTGGAGGGTTTAGTGCTTTAACTGCCATGGAGTAGTGCACAGGGATGTGGAAAGCAGACGGCCGTTGGTAATGATCTCCTGGCTCTCTGCCCGTACTGCTCTTTAGATTGAAAGCTTTCTCGTCCCCCCTGCAGGATTTCATTAAGATATTGACATAAATGCATTCCTCGACGAGAAGCCGCACTTGTCTTATTCAGCATTCGTCACCTTTCCTGTTCTTAAACCATCTTTTGTTTTAGCTTTTAATTTTACCTTTAATTTTACTCATTTATTCCAGGTAAAAATGTATTTAAGCAACATTTCCTTTCAGATCTATTTACCATTGTGCCATCTCTCTCTGTATTCCCCGTCTTCTGTCAGATACTGCCACCGAAGCTAAAGATGGGAGGCCTTCCAGCAGGAGTGTGAGATCATCACAGGTCTCCCCCTTGATTGTTGAGCCCTCCACACGTTTAAGAGCTTCTCATGGTAAATTGAATTCAAAATACAAAGAAACAAAATGGTTAGGTTGCTCTGATATCTAACAGTATATTGTACTTCTCTTGATATCAAATGAGCTGAGGTATACAGAGACCACCCAGCTGATATGCTTTCCTGTTTTCTTGTGACATTGTTTCTGCCTGTGTTCCTTTTCTCTTTGCGTTCTAGCTGAGGAGATGGCAGATCAGTCATCTGGCAGGGTGTCAATGCTCTCAAACACTCCCTCAGACAGGTTACAGGCAGTGTCGGAGAGGTCTAGGCCAAGCAGCCCACACTCACTCGAGTCCCATGTGACAGAGATGTTTATCTCGGAGGAAAACATAAGCAAGATGGAGAACATTCTGGACATGTGGAGCAACAACCTGAAGGTGAATCTGCTTCCTTATACTGTAGAACTGTCCTTTCACAATCAATCAATTAAATGACTCTTTTTGACTGCAATGCAACAGTTAGACTGAGATGGATTAAATGTAGGAAATACTCTGGACAATATACATAGGCAATGGTGAGGAAGAGGTCAGGGATTTAAAGAGAATATAAAGTCACGGGAAGGCTTATTGAATAGGATGACAGCTCTTCTCTTCATGGAACCAGTGACCTTTTTATTATGTCTCCCAGTGGAATGATTTTGGAGGAGGTGAGTGGCTGGACATGGTCGTCCTTCCTGCCCTTTTCCTCTAATATTGTACACCTCATTCTTAGAGGGCAGATGACAACTATTAACTATTAAGCTTCGTTAAGACTCTTTCAGTTCTCTTCTTTTACCTTTCAAATAAGCTAAACATGTTTACATTTGTAGATGTTGGTTGCGGTTGACCCTGTAGAAATGTAGCTTGGTTCACAAATAAACCTCTAAAGCCATATTTACTCTATAATTACACATCAGGTTGTTGTGGAGCCTGCATGTGGTAGCCCAATTTTAGACCTCTGAAACCCTCAGGCACACCTGTTCGTCTAATTTTTAAAATGACTGAAGATATGTGTACATATGTTCATATTTACTAAAGCAGTGTAATTAACACATTGTGACTGTCCTGCCCTCTATTTGTTAATTAGTCAAATGTGCTGACTGAGCTCAGGAAGTGGAAGCTGGCCTTCATGGAGCGACACAAGCTGGAGATGAGGAAAGAGAGGGAGAGGTATGCAGCCCAGACGGCTGACCTGAGGTCAGAGCTAGACAGCCTGAAGGGGCTGCTGCACACCTACGAGACCTCCAACCAGAGAAAAGATGAGGTGACTACGTGTGTATTTATTTGCTGTCTCCTTTACATAATGTGCTGGTAGGTTGGACATGTATTAAACACAGGTATTAAATACCAGACTGAGATTTAATTTCCAGTCATTTTCATTATTGTGAAATTTTAGTGTAGGACTGGGTGGGCTTAATCCATGTCTAAGCTATCTCTCTATCTAATGTTCATTTGTTCATTCTGATCCTCATTCTTTTGTGCATTTAGAACCTGAAAGAAAAAGATGAGGAACGCCTTTGTCTGCTTTTTAGATTGACAAGCTTATTGTGTGACGTGTCCTTCCTCAGGTGATTGTGAACCTGAGCCAGGTGCTGGACAGACAAAAAGAAAAGCATGAAAAAATGAGGGCCTTCACCCACTGGAGAATCCAACACACTGAGGCCAAGGAGGAGGTAAACTGATGGCATTGTGGTGTTTCCTAGAGGTAAACTATTTACAGTGGGAGATGGAGTCATCACAGGCTCTTGTATAGATTGGAAATATTTAGATTTAGCTTTCTTGAGAGGCTAAACTGCATAGTCCTTTTAATGCAAGGAGCATATTTACACAAACCTTTACACATCATCAGTATTTGCTTATTAAAGTAATGTGTGTTAAACATCACATGCGCATCACATGTAATCATCTCATTTATAAACCTCTTATGATCGTCTTTGAATCATCAGTTCGCCATTTAACTAAGCCTGTTGTCTGTGGTGTTGGTCAATCTCATAGTATAATTTATGTTTGTTTTGTTTTTTGGAAATGGATGTGAAATTACTGGTTGTGAATGTTTCTGAACATTGCTAGATTACAGTCAGTGCAGTTTAATGGTTTATGCAAATAATCACTCTCTGCATGAGATACCGACCCACACATCACAATGTCACTGCACACTGAACATGCATTATATGCCATATTTTTTACACAAATATCCCCTCTTACAAAATGTGCATGTGTGAAATGTTGTCAGTGCACCGGTGATCTTTTTATACCATAATGCTTATCAAACTAGCAAGTGCATTTTTTTACATTTACAAAATAGCTGTGCCATTTGTTCAAAATGTAAATTTAGTGGATGACTCATTTTTTTTGTCCAAGCCCCTCACACAGAGAAAATGTACTGCACCTGCACAAGAACGATCAAGGGTGTAATTACTTCCTTGTGAATATTTTCATGGTGTTGTGGTTCCCTGCTAGGCTCGTGCTGCTCAGGTCGCACGGCAGCACTACAACCTGCAGCTGAAGAAGAAGGTGTGGTTAGGCTGGCAGTCTCTGATCCAGAAACACTGGAAGGTCAAGGTGGAGCGGGCTTGCCGTGCAAGGGCTGAAGAGGTCTGCACCCGTCTGTCTGCAGAGTATGAGGCCAAGCTGGCAGAGGTAAACAAGCAAGTGAAGGACCTGCATATAAACAGTGTGTGTATGCTGATGCTGCATTGCTGGATTCATACTTGACTAATAAATGTAATAAATACATAGAATTTGAACATTTCGGTGAATAACAGCACGCACCACTCTTGATTAATAGATTAAGAATTCAAAGGTTAAATAGGAAAAAACGGTTGTTGTTGTTGTAACAAATATATATTAAAAGTGCAACACAAAGGCATAAGAATGTAAGGAGGGAAATAAACACGTGTTTTTGTCAGAATCGTATAAACTGATAAATGAATTCCTTCTGTCTCCACAGCACTGTGAGGCTATAGAGAAGGCCCAGGCAGAGGTTCAGAGACTGCGACTAGAGCGAGAGCGCTATGAAGAATCTATGAAGAAAGCCTTCATGAGGGGCGTGTGTGCTCTCAACATGGAGGCTCTCGGCATGTTTAACACCACAGAGGGACGGCCAGGGCAACCTTCAGTCCATCATCAGCATGGTCTGTAATAGAATAGCCACACGAAGCTTTTTACACAACTTGCGCATTAAAGGTGCACTGTTATCCTTATCGCAAGCCTTATAACTACATACATAGACCCCTGTTCTATACAACAAAACATAAAAGCATTGCTAGCCTTGCCTCTGCTGTATTGATTCAACACAACAATCAAGACAGAAACTAACAAACAAAAGAAAGAAACACTATTTCTCCAATAGAGTGCAGGCGTGTGCTATTGACTATTGTGTAGATTTATGAATGAGTAGGGTGGAGGGTGGTCTTTGTTCTTCTAGAAGTCATTCACTGGTTCATCTAATGGAGGGATGAGTCAGTGGAGTGCTAACTGAGGCATACTTTGCAGAGGTTATAACCTTGATGTGGTGCTGAAAGATTAGATGGAAAAGTTCAGTAGCCCTTTGCAACATTTATTAAATCATGTAATTACTGTTATATAGTAGTATGTTAGGGCTTGGACCAATACAGGATATTTGAGTATACAACTAATATGACTAACAATGAATGTCCAATAGTACTAATTAGCATAGTACTTGCCCTAAAAACTCAAGGGGTTACATGATTATCAGGATACATTCCTATTGACACCAGCAAAGGAAAGATTCATGCAACGGTCTATTCTGTTGTTCTCTGTGCTATTTCTGGTCAGCACATGGCTACTGAAGCTGGATTTCACTGCTTTTAGTTTGTGCAAATGAACCCTAACGCAGTCTTCTGCTCTTCCATCTGCTTTCAGGTTTAATGAGTCTTGCAACCTGAAATGTGTTTCATTATGTGGCTGTCAAACGGGCTGGGCTGCTAGTTGAATACTCGTTTGCTACTCTTTTTGCCAACCAGACTAACACAAAATAAATTTATATGAAGTGCTATTTAGCCTTTTTAAGTATATGTACTGATGAGAGTTATGCATAATTCATGTTCAGTCTCCTTTTATTTTGCCAAAGCAAAGGTGTGCTGTTGGTTTTGGCTTCTCTGTTAGATATGTTGTTGAAAAATTGTTCTCTTAACATATCTTAAAACAATTAAGAGAGTATAAAGGTATTAACATTCTGGAAGATATATAACATTGCCATGTTTTAATCATTGGTACTGAGAGTTATGAAGGGAAATTGTTCAACCAAAAAGAAATGTAAGATGGGTAGGCTTTTTATTGACGGTATACTGGTCATCGAGGTTTCCAAATCACTTCAATAGGAAAGATTCATCATATTTGTGAACTCCAGTCCAACATTTAGCACTAAAATTAGTGATTTTCTGTAATAACAAACTTTTATTAAGAAAATATTGTTATATTGTGAGTCTGACTAAATTCATATATTTCTTTCTTTTTGTAGATATTCTGCCTCCCCAGGATGAGTCTGGCTCTGCTACATTGGCTCAACTTCAACCATATCCCGTCTCTTCCACACAGTTTAGTCCAGTCCACTTCGACCGCCCGGACCCTTCACACAGCCAAGTAGAGGATACGGTGAGACGAGGACAATTTCTAATGAAACCATACATTTATTCACACACCATAGTTCTTCTTTACCATTGTTTAATTTCCATCTCAAATCTTGGATTGGATCAATCAACCCATCAGTCTTTCACATAGAAAGTCTGTTTTTGAACTTTTAATATGCTGTTGTATTTGCATAATGTTCTTTATCTTTCATTTAGAATTTTTCTTTGTTGTTACTTTAAATCAACTTTTCTTGTAGATTCCACTGAAACTGAAACATGCATATACAGTAGTGGTGTTACAATTGTGTTTGTAATTCATTTTTCCTCAGATGGGCTCAGGTGCCCCTGTGTCGAGGGCAGAAGTGATCCCTCCCACTACTGTAGTGCACAGCTCCCTCCCACTTGGGGGCACTGCAAGTTCCCACAAACAGGTTGGCATTATACAGACTGATCGGTTGACTGTGGCACAAGTCATTACTAGTGATGATAATGTTCACCTTCACAACAGCCATGTGCAACTATGACTGTAATTATATAATTGATTAAATGGTTATAAACCCAGAATGTCTCAAGTTTAGCACAAAAGAAGTCTCTACGACAGTAATCACATTCATATATGACGCAATAATATTTGCTGTTTCAGGTGAGCGGTCGTGTCATCAAAGCCAGTCAACAAAAACCCTCAAAGACTGTAACGGCTCGCATCACTGCACGTACTGACGTCGGTAAGGCTGCACGCAGCAACCTCCAGGTGATGGGTGTGGCTCCGCCCATGAGCTCTGTGATTGTTGAACGCCATCATCCTGTCACACAGGTATGGGACAGAATGCATCACTACTGTATTACTATCTACGCGTTATTATGTGTATATCTTTAGTTATGTCAAGCTGAAAAACCATGATGAACATTTTCTTTTGTGTCTCTTTCGTTCTTTCAGCTCACTATCGGTCAGGCCACGGCTTCTAAGTTTCCTCGCTCCTCCCAACAGGGCCAAAGCTCCACCGGAGGCAGAAGCTCCTCCAGGACACACACCACCACGTGCCATGTACACTCCATCAAAGTAGTTGACTAACCACAAACTTGTATCTCACAGAAAGTGTTGCTCAACAAGTATATGTAACTATCCAAGAAATAGTTACCGTGGCATTAGTTTCAAGTCATTAGTTTTTTTTTTTCAGCTTTCTTACATAAATGTGTAGGATTTCTTGAGCAATAGGATTTTTCTCATGAAAGTGTTTCATAGACTCAGGTAAACGTACAAGTAACTGTTTTTTATTATTACCCGCTGGAGGTTAGAGTTTAGAATTACAAAATGGACATTTATTTCTATGAAATAATGTTTTAACAGAATAGTTTCACCTGTGCATGACTTAAAATTGCGAGTATTTATTTTATCGTTTTTTTTCTATTGAGTGCAACCGTCCAAAACCACAGGTTGATTGTTTTAATAAACCAAAGCCATATGTTACTGATCAAAATAAATTATTTTAACTTCCTGTACAAATCAGTCGTTGAAAATGATGTACACATGACGTTTTTGTCAGTCCATATGTTGCAGTGTTCATCCTCATGAAATGCTGCAGCTTTTACTGCTGGAGTTGTCTGTCTCCATCCGAATCGTATCTGTAAGACAAATTTACAATTTCCACAATAACATTTTGGCACATATCCCCAGGCAGCACACCTATATATCAGTATATTTGTTTGGAAACAAATTGTTCACTGAATGCACCTGCAGCTTTCTTGTTCCCTATGAAAATGAGGCCCTGGTAGAGTTCTTTAGCAGGGTTCTTCTGAGCCAACTCCTCCCCGTGGAGCCAGATCAGCAGCATCCTGTTCCCATGCTCTTGATAGCTCTGCTGACCTGTGGACAAACGCACACACACACCACTGTACATCTAGGAAAACAATTCAACTAGCCTCTGTGCATTGGAAGATAAAATAGAAAAAATAAAGCTATCCAAGGATATTCCTTTCATTGCAAAATGTTCCTCATTAATTTAGGGATTTTAATCCATAACATTTTGGCTACAAGAAGCTCATGTTTTACATTTTCAGAGAGTTGCCAAATGCACAGTCAAAAGTCTGTCCAGGCAGTGTGAGTCATGGCACCTGTCCATTGCTCCTCGATGGCTGACACTTGGTCCTTTCTGAAGCCCCAGTGTTCTGCAAGTCTCTTCCAGTCTCCTGCTTTCAGAAGCTTGTACGCCAGGTGCCAGGCCATGGAACGGGGCTGCTTGGTCGAGTTGCGGTGGTCGAGTTTAAACGTTAGCGGATTCTCGCTGTGAATGCTCTCATTAAGTTCTGGGTTTGCCTGAAAGGGCAATTAAATTATGTAAAGGCCACAAGCCTCAGAGTCAGAGAGCACAGGGGTATTTGGAGAGATTAATGGAAAGACACACGCACATGATTAGCAATATGAATGCCAGAGTTAAACATTTTTTTTATAATAACAGAATAGGAAAGGATTCAGACAAACTCTTTATTATTAAATTAATGATAAATTGCCTGTCAAATGCTTCTGGGTTGCGAGTCCTTTTTTTATACTTTGGATGCTTTAATAGTATTGGAGGGGATTCAACTAATCTAGATTTTGACGTTGGGAAATTAATCATTTGTGATGAATGTAATTATTGATTTCAAGGCCTTAAGAATGGATTGTGGCACACATGAAAACAGTAAAAATTTCAAGTCTCATTCCAGCTCCTCTCACCATCCTCCAGGCGTAGTATCTTTGTGCTTTGATGATCATGTCCACAATAATCACCTCGTCTGCCCTGACTGCCACACCCAGAGCCGTCTTACCCTGCTACTCCGAATCCAACATGCACAACAAAATACAAAAACTTAAATCACTGTAAGGTATCAGATGTATAATTCATTTTCTCTTACAGTTTCAATGTATCATGATGCTGTTGTGTCTTAAATTAATCATGTATTTTGTTGCCCTTTGGATGGTTTAAATGTTGGATTTTGGCCATGATTTAATTGTGAAAAAAGTGTGCAAGAGCATAAGTTAACATGCAACTCCAGAAATAGTGTTTGTTAGAGTTCTTACCCTGTCCTGGAGGGTCAGATCCACCCTGGCTTTAAGAAGCATTTCCACGACTTCTATTCTGGCCAGCTCTGCAGCAAGATGCATAACAGTCTGGGACCTCTAACAGTTCATAGTATAGGACAACACAATGCAGAAATTATTTTCTCATATATAGTTTGACTTAAATCTCATTTGACTAGGGACTAGCACACCTTATCAGCGACATTAATGTTGCAGCCAGCTGTCAGTAGAGAATGGATGACAGGGATGTGACTGTTCTTCACTGCCAGGTGGAGAGGAGCCTCTAGGTGCTGAGAGCAAAAATATTCTGTTACACAACGTGAGCCTAAAAAATGAACTGTTATCTTAGGAGAGAATATGTGAAATCACTATGATATGCATCCAGGCCAAGTGTCCGCAGCACAGCTGATGTGTGCATCATCTGTGTTACCAAAAAACTTTACTGAGAGAGTGTACTACTGCCACCTAGCTTGTGTTTGCTTACCTGATTCTGGAAGTCCGTATGGGCTTTGTAATCTAAGAGGAGTTGGACAACAGACGTGTCTCCTCTTTCTGAAACTGGATGGAGAGCGCTGCATTTGGCCTTCAAGAGAGGGAGATATAGCTGTAGGCCTACTTTAAGTACAAAAACATTATTTACCACATAAACTTTGATGCTGCCTATAGGATGAACCAAATTAAATACTTTTACACTAATACATTATCAACCACAGGGCACCAAGTCAGCGGTTTTAATATTAAGATGCAACTTTATTTATCCTGAGGGAAATTACTGTGCAGCAGTTGCATTACAAAATAGGAAGAGCCTAAATATGATTAGTGCAAATATAAAAGTCTAAGATAGCAATAAGGTGCAAACACATTGTATATCTATATCTCAGATTAACAATAGGGATCAGTCTAGGTGGGGTTGCATAGAGATATGTATGTTCAATATCAAAGGAATATCTGAAGTGTGAATAGTGGCCTATTGTACCGTTGTAAGGATGTTGGGGTCACAGTCAGCCTCCAGCAGGATCAGGACACATTCTTCATGGCTTTTTTCTGAAGCCTGGTACAGAGCTGTCTCACCGTCCTGCAAGACAAAAACAAAATCAAAAAATATAGTAGTGGTGCTAGATAACCAACAGACACAGAAAAATGGTTTTCAGGTGGACCACAATTTAAATGTGTCTTACTATACTCACAAAATGTAAACAATGTTTCCAGGCCTATAACCAATTAGGAATCAGAAATGAACCACCCTTGGAACATGAACACATATCTGTAACTTCATAGCCCAAACATTTTTTACATTTGTTTATGTTGAAGTCTCTTTAACATTTTAAATGATTTATTAACGGGTAATAACTCAGTCATCGTTATTCAGATGATATCCATCATTAAACTCCAATCCCAGTTTGAAGAATCTTTGTCCAGAAACACCAAGTAAATGTTATCAAGTATAATGTACCAGACTGAAATTCAAGCCAGAACACAGTTTGTTGTTATATAATAGTAGCCAGTACATGTTTGATACATCTTAATTAATCCAAAGTGGAGCCACCATCCAGCAGTGGATTAGCCACTGAGCACACACTGTCACAAACCAAACCGTGATAGAGATGATGTTTACATTGATTGTGTACCATATTGACTTCATCCCGCGTATCAAAGCTCTGCAGCAGCGATTGTACGGCATCCGAGTGGCCGTTCCTGGCAGCTAAGTGCAGGGGTGTGTCCCCGCTCTGGCAGAAGGGAGGGAGGGAAACAACTGGCATCAAAGAGTGTTGAGCGTATCTGAAGTTGCAACACACAAATGTGAACTCAGAGACGTGAGCATAAATGGCACACAAATCAAAAACATAAACTAGTCGACACACCTTGTTGGCCTTCATGGTGGCCATGTCGTATGGGACAATCAGCATATCCATCATTTTAACACATCCATGCTCTGCCGCCAATGCAAATGCCCGTTGTCCTGACTGAAAAAAGAATTGATGTACAAACAACATTTACTTCTTGTACTTTGGTCGTCCTAAATAACGTATCAATAGTGAATGATATGGTTGAGTCATAAAAATGACTGTCAAGTAGATACCTGGTCATCTTTGTCGAGTTCTTTCATCTGCAGGTCATTAACTATATACTCCACAATGTCAGTGTGGTTGTTGATAGCAGCGCAGTGCATGATGTTCAGTCCTTCCTTAGGTGGAAAAAAGCAAGTTAATGTTTAATCAAGCAGTGTGCATGAGGACTGTGCATTAGGAAACAGAGGGATGTATAACATGATGGACAAGAGCAACTGAGCTGAGACAAGCATACAAATGTTAGGTTTATAATCCATTATAATGGAAATGAATTGCCTTAGGGAGAGTATCCAAGTATTTTTCTCCATCACTTAGTGAGAAAAAGTAAAACAAAAATCCTTCTGCTTCTTTACCTTGTTCTCAACCTTCTGTTCAGCCCCGGCCTGCACTAATAATTTCAGGATGTCCAAACTGCCAAACCAGGCAGCCAAATGAATGGGTGCCACACCGTACTGTCAGACGCAACACAACAACAAAATGGGAAGAAGTATTACATCAGCAATCGTCAGTGTCTCAAGTTTTCAGATGCAGGTAATTGAAACCCTCTCACCTTGTCCGGTTGGTCCACCTTGACTCTCCGCTGTAGAAGAAGCTGCACAGCTTCCTTGTTTTTGCCAGCTACTGCATAGTGAAGGGCAGTCCTGTCATCCTGAGTCAAACAACGTCATCAGTATATTTTCAATTAAATATAGGTTGTTCCAAAATCCAAGAAAAGACCAGCCTTTCAATCTGTTTGTGTGGTATTATACAATGCAGCATACTGAGATGCAGATAGAGGGTTCGTCTATTTAGACCCACCACATTCTTTGCATTGGCATTCAGCCCTCTTGCAAGCGTCTTCATGGTCACAACATCATTCGTCTTAGCTGCTTCCATAAACTGCTTCTCTGCATCAAGCACTGCACAACACAGCAGACAGGAAAGCTTTGCATATGGGTTTTTAATATGTAATATACAGAACAGCATGTTCTAGGCTTGATACACAACCAGATGATGTGTGAGGAATATCTAACGGCATCTGAGTTGAAACCTCAGCAGGAGCATATACTGGCTGGTCAATGGAGATGAGTGTTTCATGTGCTGTGGTGAAGATTGCCTTGGTTTCAGTCTTGTGCAAATAGTGTGTTTCTAGAAATAGGGCATACAGTCAGTCCACTATGAATAACTAATCATTAACTCCAGCTTCAACAATATCAACTCGAAGGCTCAGTCTTGAACAAGAGAAACTTTCTTCAAAATATTGCTCCGTAATCATAATCATTTTTATATTCTGTTTATTTATTTTCCACCTTTACTAAATTTGTTGTACTTGCAAACTCACACATCTCTTTGTTGTCGAAGCTGTTATCCGTCTCTGTTTCGGAGTGCTTGTTCAATATGAAGTCAGTAAAACCCCTCACAGTCTCCTCTCTCATCCACTTCCGAGGGTCCAAATTTTCTGTCTTAGGTTGATGCTTCTTGATCATCGTCTTCACATCCAAAGCTCTTCTCTCCATTGGGAAGTCGCTTAAATTACCTCTTTATGTGACCAAGACGGATTTGGTTCAATTGAATTAACAGTCCAACGTGTGCACCGAAAGTAAACCAAACCAGATACCTGAGGAAACAGATCCCACAGAAAATGAGAATATCTTGTGCAGTTCCTGTCTCCAAATAGACAACAGCAAGCCTTGAAGTGGAGTTCTACTCCTGCTATTCTCTCAACGCCGCGGGGCTGATCCGTGTTTGCTGTACCAGCTCACACCCTTGAGAGACTGCTGATGATAACAGAGACTATTTACCAAGTCACACTTCACCTGTGTTACACAACTAGTATGGTGCATGACTGTGGCTTCATTTATATCATACTTTGAGAATGTTGTGCAATGTTTACACAAGATTTACATGAAGCTCTAATAGAAGTTTAACTTGTTTGTAGAGGGATGTTGCACTAGTTACACACTGCTCTTTAAGAGCAATGTTTCACATTCACACCCGAGGCAATACAGTCTGTTGCTGCTGGTCATTGTGCAGCATGTGTTTTTCAGTTTTTAGAGCAGCAACACTACAGTGTTAACCCTACTGTATACCATTTCTTCAGTAAGCCAACCCTTTTGGTTAAAAGTGAGATTAGTAGAGAATAATAATTATAATAATAAACTGTGGAAAAGCCACCACCCAAAGTGAAATTTCAGCAGAAAAGTAATTTATTTCTTATATAACTTTGATTTACACGATAGAAGGATTCTCTTATCTTCATTATTAGACATACACAGTATTATCATTGGAAAACACAATAAATACAACTGTAAATTACTGCAAATATCTGAATAAAATAACTTCATGAAGATAAATTAAAAAACTCACACAGGCACCTCAGTGTCTAATAAATACTCCTATGATCCAGTACGCATACAGTAAAATAAAAACATTACGCTTATCTTCAGTGAGTAACAGAAACAAGAAATAAAACTGGCACACAGTTTGCCAGAATTTGTCTTTTGTCATCTTTAATTTCTCATCTAGTGTCTGCCTTAAAAAAACCAAACAAGGCATATTAGTGCAAATACTGTATAAATTACAGATTTCTGAAGACTTTTTTTATATGGCTTTGTGTGCAATTTAAAACTGCTCAGTGGAGCGGGAGGGGAGAGGTGTTTTCCATTTCCTGAAGGAAACTTCCTCAGTTCCTCCAGACAAGGATGGACGTTCTTCGTGCACGACCGTCACCGGAAGAACTTGTCAATGGTGTTGCGAGAACCGAGGCATTTAGCCTTTTTAGAAGGAGGAGAGGAAGGCGAGTCCCGTCTGAAAGTCAATAAAAGACTATTTTACCTACAGTACATGGAATATTAAGATACAGCATACAGCATGCAGCAACAGTCTGTAATCAAGCTGTCTCACCTTTTGGTTTTACCTTTAGTTGCTTGCATTGGCAGGAGACGGCTTCTGTCTGTGAACAGAAACAGACACTCGTGAACATAGAAAGAAAAAACACTCTCTGACGATAACAATGACATCTACCAAGGAGGTGCAAAATTGCAGCACCTCTTCAGGGATATAAAGAATGCAATTTCTGAGGCAGGCTTGTTGAAGAGGAAACTGGGGTTCAGTTCATTGTAGAAAATGAATAGGTGAGAAAGTGATTTAGCCATTTCCAAAAGCAGGGCAAACGAAGCCCCACTGGCTGAAATGAGATGTCTTTTTCTCAGCGGGAATCGATACAAACTTCTCACACAATGTCACTGTCAATAGATAACACCGACATCCTCCCAAATAGACATTCCTTCTGTTAACTCCAAATATGCCACACAGCCACAGTTCATAGGCGTTACTAGCAGGGTCGTATCCGTCCTCAGCACAGATTAGATCCACAAAGGAAACACTGACATGACCGTACCTGGAACGCTGAAGTACACAGGGAACAAAATGCTCAAAGTGGCTATAAACAATATTTTTATAACAATAACAATTTAAACGTGAAAGGGGTCTCTCTCTTTAGAGATTCATCACCTGAACCTGAACTGTTGTGCTCACAACTGATTTCACAACTGATTCCAAGGGGCCAAACTAAATTTAGTACACACACACTCACCTATGGCCTTGCTATTTATCACTGAAGGTGGATTCATGGGCGATGATGTCTGCCCCCCCAGCTCATGTAGGACCTCCTGGTTCAGGCAGAGGTCAACGTGGTGGTTGAAGATAGTGAGGTCATCACTGTCCTGGGTCAGCTGACATACTGGGCAGATGAGGTCGGGGCCTTTATCATGACATGACTGAGGCTGTCCCGAGGTGACCGTTCTATTGTCGCCATTGATCAACAAAACCGTTTGAAGAGAATCGTTTTCCAAGTTGTGCTGGTCTTCTTGAGGATCAACTCTGCTCGACTCAAACTCTTCACATTCCTTCTGGCCATTCTTGAGGTCCAGGTCTGACTCCGTGTCAGATATTGTGCATTGGCTTGGATTTCTAGAGGCATCACTGAGACACTGGTCTATGTGTCTGTTGAAGACATTCAAATCAGTGGTCTCCACCTGCCGGAAACACACCGGACAGGTGAGGCTCTCCGACACTGTGCCGCCACAGCCTGATGTGGATGCGTGGGCCTCTACGGGGGAAACAAAGTCCTTTTCTGAGGGATCTGAGGCTGTACAGTGACTCTTGTGCGCTTCTGTTGAGGACTCTACACCCTTTTCAGCACACGGGCCAGTGGAAGCAACCACAGAAGCATTCTCCCCATGTACTTCCTTTTGTGTGCTTGCATTCCCTGCCTGGAGTTGCAGTCGTTTGGCATGAGCCCGTTGGAAGAAAGACTGTTTGGGTTCCTCACTAGTCTGACCCCCCTCGAACCCCCTCTGCTTACTCCCCCAGGGTACTTCATCCTGTCTCTGGCACTTCTGCGCAAGCGGAAGACAAGCAAGGGGCCCAGTTTGGAAGGATTGATTGGAGAGATTCTTTTTCTCAAGCTTTTGATTCATTCCTTGGGAAGAGCCACTAGAGTCTGTCTTGCCTGGCTTTAGAAAGCCAACGATGCTCCTCTGCAGGGGCTTTTTATCATCCGAACTGACAAAAGCGGATATTCTTACACCTACGAGCAGAAAAACAAATCATCGAGAGAAAACTTCAAAATGAATGCCAACTGTGTTATTATTTCCACATGCAGCGTGTCACGGATCATTTCGATTTATTTCAAGGTAGTAAGAATAATTGATATCTAAGTTATATTGCTGTATCTAATTACCCATGAGTCTCAGTCTGAGAGGCTGGGGGCTTTCATTGTCGATTTCCGTTTTCAGTAGGTCCTTAGAAACAGCAAAAATCTCATCCACTGTAGCAACAGCATACGACAGCGTCAGCGCCCTGCTTTTTACCTCAAAGTTCACGTTCTTCAGCTTCAGTGTTACCGTTTTACCCTGAAGGAAAATGAAGAAAATACACAGTTGAATTCATATCAGGGAAAACAGTTGAGGTCATTTCTGTCTGCTGTCAAACAACCTCTTAATTATAAGCATAGTCAATGATACTGTGTGGAAAGGCCTTGCACGACAAACAGACATCCGTCATATCACTTGTCAGAATGCATTTTGTGAGTAAAACGCCACAAAGCGCTTTCATAGTAATGTGATCATCTCTCCCAGGGAGACATTTCCAAGGCTGATAGTAACCCTGTCTCCTTAATGGCCCTCCATTTCCTCCAGCTATCAAGGCCACATCAGGGCCCCGGCAGGGGGGTGATGGTCGTGCCAAGCCAACCAGATCTTTCTCCATCGATTGGAAAAGGAACGAACAGGTTCAGGTAATTGTATGAGATTCTGTCTGGAGTAAGGGTGATTCTAGGGAGGCCAAGAATATGTTATTCTAATATTGCCCTTTTCTCTTGATCCTTTTTGTGGTGTCTATTGGTGTGCAAATATTCCCAGTGCTTGTTTTATTTAGCTTCTATTTGCTCAGTCTGAGCCAATCAAAGGGAGGCAAGATCCACCCAAGCAATGTCTCAGCAGTATACAGCGTAACCCCATGTATCGGTGATGTTACCACGACAGGTGACCAAATATGTCTTCAAGACAGCCCACTTGTTCATAAGATATGCACAGAGGTATAGTCATGTTGCAAAATACATAAAGCGACGCTGGTTCTCTACCTTTAGACCTTCTTTCTTCATGTCTTCTGCCAAGTCTTCACAGAGCTCCCTGCAAAAGGACAACTGCTCCTCAACGTTACTCAGTTCTTTGAATGTCCTGTAAAGATTAAGTGGGACAAAGAGGAAATGAGGGAGAAGTAAGAGGATGGACACTCATTGTCACTTTGTGCTTCATTAAAACCATACCTTTCTGTGCTCATGCTTTTCCGTTCTTCATGCCTGTATAAAAGCAAAGGCAGTGAGCATTATCTCCTCTCTCTGAACTGGACTGTTTTATTTCTTGATCAGTTGTGTTGAGTTTTATTAAACAGACAGTGAAGTACCTAGGTATACATGTGGAGCCCAGACCCAAGGAAACCTGCATGAGATGATGCCAGGCTGTCTCCGAGAACAACAACAGCAGCAGCTCCATCTGCTGGCCAAGATGAGAACAGCTGCTGACGCCAAGAGCATTCAGCATCTTCTCACTCACTTTCCCTATGCCAGACACCTGGAAAGGATACACAAACACGTGTTTTACGGTCTTTAAATATTGATGATTCAAACATCTTTCCTCTATCTGCAGTACATCATTAGTCACTTTACACCCCATCTGTCAGCCTTTAATAATACAGAAACACATGACCGCATTCTAACATCTTTCCATAATTATTCACCAACTCCACTCCAAGACTCTCTGTACACGGTTTAGTTTGAGAAATGTGTAGCGTACTTTGCGAACTGGGAGATTCTGGACAAAGTCCATGACTGCCTCTCTGGTGGAGGGGAGTCTGTATTGGCCATTGGGCTTGTTCTTGTCACTGCACACCTTGGCAAGCATCGTGTTTGGAGCAATTCCTAGAAGAGTGAGTAGCATGATTGAATAGTGTGTTTTTAAATGAACGGCTGGTAAAACATACACATAATCTTGATCATAATTTTACACAAAATGTGAGAGGAAGACTTTTATTATTATTGTTGAGCAGTTTGTTTTTGCAAAGAATGAATTATACTATTATATAATAGTTTCTTATTCAGAAAGTGGGGAAGAAAGAAAGGGAAGACAACAAATATGCCAGAAGAGTGAAACATTTAACTTTCGCTGAACACTTTCTGCTGTCAAACTCAAACGTAAAATGTTTAACGACAGCAAGACACACTGACGAAAAGGGATAGTGTTGTATAAATCCCGTCAGAATAGTTTTTATGCGTACCTGCACTGGCAGTGAGCGTGGTCTTCTGCTCAATGCGGAAGCGCATCTCTCTCACGGCCTCCTCAACGGACGTACCAAACACCTCAAATGCACTACCAGCAGCACCGACGCCTTCAGAGTCCAACAGGCAGGGAGAGGTGCTCGGGCTGTCCTCGAACAGGAGCGGAGAGAGGTCCTTTTCCTCTGGCACTGCCACCTGGGGAAGCTCAATCTGCTCTTCACCTTTACAGAAAAGAAATTACTTCTCACAATAGCCTGATGGATTTCTAGTGTATGAAACGTTGATCGTGCAACAGTGTTCCCTGTCATATTATGTACACAGCAAATGTGGCAAAAGTTGCAGGAAGAAAACACAACAATCCATCACAGCATGTAATCATTCAACATTTCTGTGTAATTAAGTACTGCCTGTAGCGTCGCTGCTGGCGCGGAAGCGATGTGTACGTGAGGATTCTGGCCAGCTCCGTCTCTGTTCCAGGTGGTCTGTAAAATCCAGATAGGCTTCATCCAGGCTCATGGGCTGGAAGTGAGGGTCATAGTGTGCGAAAACCTCCCGGATCTAACAAGAGTGATACAAATTCATGAGCACCTGTTGGTTTAAGAAAGGGCCACAAAACAGTTGCATAGCATTTGTTTTTTAATGCAAGTTTCAAGAGCTATTCATCTCTTTGTGTGTGTGTGTGTGTGTGTGTGTGTGTGTGTGTGTGTGTGTGTGTGCTTTGCCATCGCTCGTACCTCTTCACTCACAGCTCTGTATTTAGCAAAGTTGGTTGGAACAATAACTAAGTTGGGGCAGAGTTTCTTTGCAATGAACCCAGGCATGGCAGCTCGAACCCCATACTTCCTGGCATGGTAGTTAGATGTTGACTGCAAGAGAAAGGGTGAGATCCAAATAAAATATTTTTAATTTGTCTTGAAGTCATAAAACATTGGCACTGGTTTGAATAGCCATGATTTCTAATATTACAGTAAAGTACAGTTCAATGAATTTAAAATGTAATATATAAAATACACATGTGAAGACTCATTCCTCTACTGTGATTTGTAAAAATGTAGTTTTGCTGCATTATACTGTGAGGATCGTGGTTAGAGGTTTACAATGATGTGCTCCAGTATGTCATAAATATTTAATTGTTTCAAGAAACTGTGTACATTTGTTCATATTTTAACCCACCAGCATGCTCATGGATCCTACAGCCATGGGCTTGTCCTTCAGCTCAGGACAGTCTCTCATCTCCACAGCAGCGTAGAAAGCGTCCATGTCCACATGCACAATCACACGGCTGAGATCACGACTCTTTTCAAGCTCGGCGGACATCCTCTCCACCTACAAAGAGATTTAATGAAAAACACTTGAGTCGTGTGACATTTAAAATGCAGCCTTTTCATTTAATAAGCACATCAAATTTGTTTTTGAATGACCCGATGCAGACCAGACCCAGATGAATCCATGTCTTACCTGAGCTTGTGCTTTCTGTAACTGCTGTTCTGTGATCTGGGCCTTTTGTAGCATCATCTTCTCAATGCGGTGGTTCACCTGCTGCTCTTTCTTCACCTCATTCTCATAAAACCTCGATCCCTGCAGGGAAGACGACAAGGACAATCAAGAGTTACAGATTCTGTAGCACATCTATAATGAAAAGCTACGATAGCAATATCTATTTTAGGACTGTGTATGTGATGACACAGGGGATATGGGACTTTCACACAAGGCTGGACACAGCCAGTAAAACTGGGCCTCACAGTTCATATAGTCCACAGCAGCTGTAGAGCCTTGTCCTTTCTAACACATCAGTTATCTTTGTTTAGATTCCTATGTATGGGAGAGTCTTGCTATGCCATACAGGAATAAACAGAACAAGTCTATTTAAGTTATTAGTTCATACCTTGGATGACTCCATGATGATTTTGTTGATCTTGTCCCTGTCAAGACCCTCCATGCCTGCCTTGTTGTCATTGAGGGCCATCCTGGAGAGGAAGCCCTCTCCTTTGGTGGATGAAACCCCATTCTCCATCCTGAAGAATGGATCCTCAATGGGAAAACAATCGGGTTTTTTTGGCACCTCTGTTCTAAAGTTAGTTGATAAACCTGTAAGATATCGTAGCTGTGTATTCCATTATGTGTGTGCCTTTTCTATCTAAATCAGAATATCAACAGTAAGTCAGATACGAACCTTTTCACTCTGCGCTGGATCAATCACACCGAATCAAGATCGCTCAGCTGTCCAACGTTTATGTCTGTACATGTTTTGAAAACGAAGACGGTTTGGGCGGGACTTCCGCGTACATGCGTCATCACCGAAAAGGGCGGGACTTAGCCTAAATAAATAGATTCGGTAAGATCACAATGCACTATGAGAACCTTTACTACCACGTTAAATACAGGTTCCATCATGTGCTTGCTTTGAAGCTGTGGACAATGATGGTGGATTTTTACCCCCCTTGACCAGATACAATTTCCTTTTAGATTTTATGTCTGAAAATAGTTTTCAGTTTTTCTAAAAGTAGTCAAACAAAGCATGTGTAAACTACTGTTAAAGTAGCCTTAGCATCGATTGAAACACGTCGATGTATACCGCAGCCAAAGTCAGATAATACGAAACAAAATTCCAAAAGTTGTCTTGCTGATCAATTCATTTACAACCCTCAAATTAAAAAGAAAATCTATGGAAGATTCCAAATTAGCTAAAATAAAACTTATACTTCCGATTTTTTTAAATAAACAACTTAAAGGACTTTCCTGTCATAGTATATTGTATTTACGGTCTATGGGAGGCATCCCTCGTCAAAGAAAATAGTATTGCTCCCACTGTCCAATTGATTTTGTTACGGTTTATGTTGCACTGCAATCCCTATCACAAAAACATGTCTTTTAATTTGAAGGTTAATGTGTGTAACTTCCGGTGTCACTGTCGAGCTTGCCGCCGCGCTGTAAGGTACACAGTAAAGCGTGGCTGCAGCTCCTCCCCCAACCAGCTAGTCAGTCCCCCGCTATATTGCTAACTAAGCTGGGGAACTACAGCAGCGACACAGACCGTTGCTCGTCAGTTGCAGCGTGAAGTTGGGGTACTGCGTTAACACGGAGGTCTTCCTTATTGATCACTCTTTTGAGTGGCTTATCGCCTGCAGCTAAGAACGCTAACGAGAGCAGTCACAACGTGTTCGTTCAGTTAATGTAAGCTAAGCTAGTTGCGTCGTTTGACAGCTAACGCTAACTAGCTAGTCCCATTAGTATTCGAAGTCAGTTTCAAAACAAAGCCCGCAAAAACGGAGAAGTTAAGACACAGCTGTCACCTCCAGAACAGCTTGATACAAAAACAAGCCTGCTACGTTTAAGTCCGTCTACCGACCAAAGATAAAGTACTCGGAGGATGTTTGATACACTCGGTCAATGCCCAGATAACGGTATTTAGCTGACGTTAAGCTTCAGTTAAAGAAGCTGTCAGCTGGTCTGGGCTGTGACGAACTTAAACTAACGTACGCTTTTACGGGACGTGGTTCTGTCAACACATTCAGGTTTAGGTTGTCTTTGAGGCTTTGGATTTAAATGTCCGAGAAGAGTTCATCGTCCGGTTCGGATGAGGATGCGGACCCGGAGTCCGCGCAGCATGTGGAGCTCGGTGGGGTTTTAAGCAAGGTAACGTGAGGTGAACCGGTTTTAATATTACACTGTTTTATACTAGACAATAAATTGTAGTGCAGTTGTCTTAATCATGCACAGCTAGTCTGAATGCATAGTGAACATTACTAGGTCGAATGAATCCCTGCGTGCAGATCTAGTGACTACATAGCTGTTTGTCTTGTCACCTCCCGTGTGTTTACAGTGGACAAACTACATACACGGGTGGCAGGACCGATGGGTCGTGTTGAAAAACAACACTTTGAGCTACTACAAGTCGGAGGATGAACGGGAGTACGGCTGCAGGGGCTCTCTGTGCCTCAGCAAGGCTGTTATCACAGTAAGTATATATCCTGGTAGGTACTGCAGAATGAGTTTAGCACCTGTCCAACAATTCAGGGAATAAGACCTCATAAGATGGGCCACCGTGAAAGGCTTAATTTTCTGCAACAGTGCTCTTGGAGTCGGGTTACCTCTAGAATGTCTCAAATGTTTTCATCCCGTGCGTCTCTGCCTGACATTAGCATGAAGTTGAACTTTAAATCCTTCAATCCACGTTCCTTCAAAGATAGAAAGGTAAACATTAACTAGTAATGACGTTGCTATTAAGATCACATTGGTAGGGAACTGCGTTTCAGCAGACCGAGGGATATTCTTGCTTCAGCAGTCATTTGAGATGTCACGCCTTCCTCCGTGGCAGTTATAAAAGCGGCTACTTGAAGTTGCTGTTCCCATGTGGGTTAAAATGTACGATTCAAACACACACTGTAGAGATCAGACCTGCGTTGTCCCGATGCAGTCATCCTGTGGGTGAGATAAGTAGGAATCCCACACCCTGGTTAAATATTCACTGGTCTCTCGAGCGTACCGCCACCAAGTACAGAGGCCAAACAAAAGGCTTTAGTGTGATTTGTGCAATAGGATTGTATGACTTCAAAACGGGATTAAGGCTACAGTTAGTTTCCTCTGCTGACAGCGGTCACTTGAGTGAGCATTATGCCAATTCCTGTGCTGGTGCAGACCCGAATGGAGCTCCACAAGACGTCCGTAGTGCTTTTGTAATTGTGTTATAGTAGGCTAACTAAGAGTGTACACACTTTAATTACGCACGATCGCTAGTAATTCGAGTAGTGTGACCCACACAGTCTCCTCTTACTGCCTTTCCCTTCTTCCTAAATAGAGCCAGTGCTGTCTACATGAGACTGGCACGAGGACTCAGGAGTGCAGAAACAAGCCTCTGCTTCTCTTCTTGCCTAATATCAGTCTGTTCCACGCTGCGTAGCTGCAGACGCACCGCACTGTCGTCACGCAGGATCAAAATGTGCAGAAAATGTTACTGTCTGAACATTCCTACCGTAGGCCTATAAAGTTCACATCAGTTCCACCTGTTGTCAGTGCATTGCTGTTTTTTGGTGTCAGTTACATGTTTTTAATACAGAGTAAATGCATATAAATGATTCTATTTATTGTGTTAAATATATTTTATTTAAAATACAAGCGTGTTTTTGCACGCACCAGTTTAAAGGCAGCTCGTAGAGGGAAAAACCTTGAGTCTTTAGATGTCCCTTTTGGGAGGAGGTTATCAGTGTTTGACGGATAACCTCCTCTTTCCTAACACTGGAGATGCCACAGTCCTGTACGGGGGGGGGATATTCAGCAGCGCTTATGCAAGTGGAAGGAGATTGTTCAAGGCAGAGGTATAAACTGGGTTGTAAAGCAGAGGTTTATGGGCTGCGTCTGATACAGCACAGTAAGGATTTCTCTGACTGGTAATGGTGTGCAGGCTGGATGCACTTGAGCTCACCATCACACCTCCTTCTAGTGAAATGTACAAACTGGATGTTAACACTTGTGTCTAAGGACGTTGTCTGTGTCTCGATGTCAAAGTGTAACGACAATGTTTGCATAAAGTTATGCAGACGTGGTTCAGAATATATGTTGCTGTTGTCCAAATAGACCAGCTCATTAGCGTCATTCAGTAAATTGAATTAAACTTTGACAACGTGAGGTTATGTCAGCTGACAGAGCAGCTGTAGTCTTGGTTCTACTCAGGAGAAAAACAGGAAGGAGATTAAAGTCAACCGTGTCTCATTTCTTTGCAAAACAGATACCTCCTCAGCGGAGTGCTGTGGTCAAATTCCAATCTCAGAGGAAACAGGAATTCTCTGTTGCACGTGTGTGAGTGGGGTGCATTGTAGGATGGGGGAGTGAAATAGTTGAACGATTAGGCCGAATAGTAGCAGGAAAAGTTGTGATGACCCAGGTTCAGGCTGAAAGACTATCTGTTTTTACACAGTTCTGTAGGGTTGTGCCTGCAGACATAAGACATCAGTTCCTAATTAAAATTCCTGTTTTTTGTGTGTCAGAGGCTTTTCTGTGACTGATAGAAACCATGTGTGTCTAGAATGTGTCATCACTCGTCAGCCAGTGTCACAAACGGACTGTACAGGCTTTATAGTGGGATGTTTGCTCTAAATCCAAGGGGAAAAGTTGCATTGAGTTTTTTTTAGTGTTTTGGAATATAGATCTTTGGTTTTGGTGATAGTATTCTCTGATGTGCTCTGCCTAATAAGCATTCATGACTCATGAGCCCTCTCCTCTCTCTTTACAGCCTCATGAGTTTGACGAGTGTCGCATTGACATCAGCGTGAACGACAGCGTTTGGTACCTCAGAGCTGAAGACCCCGAGCACAGACTCCAGTGGATCGAGTCGATAGAGCTGCACAAGGTGAGTGGAACGGCTTCTCTTCCTCCGTAGAGTTTCTGGATCTTTCTCGCTGGCTTCCTTTTGCACCGTCAGACTGCCTTGTGATAAAGTTGTTCATGGGAATGTTGCCTACCTGCAAGCAAGTCAGCTGCATCATCCTGATCTACTGATTAATACTACAGATACTCAGTTTGCCTGAATCCAGTCCCTGTTGTTCTGAAGGATTCTTTGTTATTTTTGTGGTGAAACGGAACAAGTTTCTTGTTTCATCTTATGTCATTTTTTTTGGCAAATCATCTGCTAAAAACCTCGTGTTATTCACATTTTTCAGGTATTTAGGTTACATTTTGTGTCAGTTTTGTTTTTTTCCAGAACATGCAGGGAGTTCTCTGTTTTGTTCAGTGAGCTGGGTGTGGCAGGACAGGGATTGGGACGGACACACACAGACAGCCCTTCACCCTGGGAATGGCAAGAATCTGTGGAGTGAGGTGCAGTGGTGGTGGGGGGGATCTCCTGTTATCAAATACCAGGCAGCTGTTCACTCCATGACATCAAGTGAACATGAACATCAGTGAAGTGTGTAAAGCACAGCAGATAATACGTGAAAATAATCAGTTCACATAATGCTGTGATACAGCCGGCTATACACGTTTAGTTTGTGTAAGTCTGCTCTAAAGATAAGCTAGCTATCCATTTCTTTAGTGTAGTTGTTGTCACTGTGTTCTACTCTACGGATAAACTTAAGTAATATCAATCAGTACGTTTGTACTGTGACCTTTGGTGAAGTGCAGTTCTTTGTTATCTGTGTTATCTGGTGACGTGTGTGTGTGTGTGTGAGGGAGTGAGAGACAAACGTATATCAGCAGTGCATCTGCCACATAAAAGCGCTGTAGTTGAGAGACCACCCTTTAAAAAACAAAAATAATCACTATCCTGTGAATTCTCATCAGGCCGGCTTCTCCACTAAAGCGGTGCTGTGGATGGTGTCGTTAGTGCTGCTGGGTGTTGGCAGTTGAGTGTGATTGACCGCCGGTCTCCCGTCCGTTAACGGCAGCGTGAGAGTATTTCAGGGTTGTGTCTGGAGTGTGACCTACAGTGACCTTGGTAAGCCTCGTGCAGCCCTACCAGCACGAGGTAGGGCTGCACGAGCCCTACTTGTTCTAGGTGAGCTTGTCTGCACTGCTCCCAGCTGGAAAGAGAGGAAGTTGCATTCAGTGTTCACAATTGCAACCGTTTTTCTGCTTTTAATCTGTGTTAAGACGACATGAAACCAAATGTTAGGTCTGTAACTTCTGTTATGAGTTTATGTCAGAATCTAATGACTATCTTTGTGCTTTAACATGGGTCGAACAGGCAGTGATTTCAGCTTTTGAATGTGTTGTTTAAGCCACTTATATAAGCATATTCCTATTACCAAATCAGGCTGATATTGTACGGGGAAAGAAAACATTTTTTTGCGAGGCCATTTGTGTTTTTATGTGTGGGTGTGTTTGTGTTGGTGGTGGAAAAAGTTGTGCCGAGTGTAGGGACGTTAAGTGCAGCTCTTGATGAATAATGCATTTTTTTTATTATTTTTTTACCGCCCGTTCTCACAGCAACAAAAATCAAGAGGGACACTCTCGATCAGACTGTTGAGACTCTTCCATTCTGTCACCTTCAGAGGGGCGATCTGGGAGGAAACGGGGAGAAACCCCTGAATCCACCACTTCTTCAGGCTGCTTGTTGGCACAGTCTGAACAGTATTGACCTCGATCACACTTCACCACGAGATATCAATAAATCAAAAAAAGATGAAAGGAGAGTCAGGTAGATGGAAATTATGCAGAAGATTCTAATGTTCTTCCCTGCCTCCCACTCTCTCTCTCTTTCTCTCATAATATAAATGAGACTCACCCACCCATTTGGTACTTAGGTGGTTTATCACACAGCCAGCTCTGGACAGCCCTCGTCTCTCTCTCTAATACATTTATGCATGCAGCCTTTTTTTATCCCTCTCTCGCGCTGTCTCTCTTACATGCAAACACACACACAGTCCCGGGTTGTTTGCTCAGTGATGGATGCTGGACATAAAGATGGACCCGGTGGAAAGGTTTCACATATCAGGGTGTGTGTGTGGTCCGTTGAGTGGAGAGCATGTACGTGTGTGTCTTTGAGTCCATGTGTGTTTCTGCAGAAGACCCGCTTCGCTCTGCTGACGATTTTCAAGACTCGTCCTTTTGGCTCAGCCTTCAGCGAGCGTCTGCCACTCCTCTGGCTGCTTCGGAGAAAATTACTTTTTCCTCATTTCCCTCTCTTTTAGCTGCTTTCTTTTTCTTGATGAGCTAAGCTGAGCCAGTGTGGCTTTTCTTCTCCACCTCCTCCTCCTCCTCTTCCCTTTTGTTCCTCAGTGAGGTGTGTCCAGAGAAACCGGACTACTGGATTTAAGCCTCTGAATTGTCAGTGTTGAGGGAGCGTCTGTGCCATGTTGGGGCCGGCAACTCGTCGGGACTGCAGCGGTGTCCTGCTCTGCTTTGGGTGTTGGAATGGTGGAATGGTGGGCTTATAGCATGTTGGCATGGCTTGCTCACTGTCACTCATCACTAAAGTCTGTAGTTGGTATGCCAGTGTTGGGATATAAATGATAAACATGGCCCGTCTTTGCCTTCCTACATACATGGCATCAATTTTTATTTCCTATTTGCATGCGTGCAGTTAGAAGAACTGATGCTTATTAATTGTACTCCACGGCATGTCCGTCATTGAAAGAGATCACTATTACACTCATCTCACTACCATCACAGCGCTGTGGGTATAAGTGTCGCTTCATGTGTTGTGTTTGGGTGTTTGATCGGCTGTGTCATGCAGCTGAGCAGAAGAGCCTCTAGAGTCTTACAGATTGGTCTTATTGTTGTAGATACCCAAAGGCTCTGTTTGTTTAAGGAATTGAAATGTAATAGCAGGACACGTATGTTGTATGTCCTGTTTTTTAGACTGGGACAGGTATTTTTAGGGCAGGAGTTTTCTCGTTATATTATTGATTTTCATTTTTATTTTACAATATTCATGCAAAATGTTCCACTCCCTTTGTGTGTGTTTTGTATTTTTTCTGGTAGGGTTAGTTTGAATTATGTAAATGATTTAGTTTATGAGTGATAAGATGCGTCCGGTGACTGGTAGGATGGGTGCTGGATCACAGAAATATCTAGTGGGATTAAAATAATGAATTAATGATTAATGCTTACATTTATCACATTACTCTTAATATCACAGCAATCATGGGATTGTAAGAATGTAAACAGACCCTTTAACAGCAAATATTGAGACTTTATTTTCTGTTGGCCTGGTCTTGAACAGTCTATCAATATACGTGTGCTCTCGCTCTAGTTTATCACCTGACTTTGCTCACTGTTGTCAAGAAGTACCTCTGCTATTCCAGTTTTACTAAACAGGACTAGCACACAGTCCTTTGTTAATTCAACATCAAGAGGAAAGTACACACAAAGGAATGACTAAACCTCAGCAAACATAAATGTAGGCTCATAAGAAATACAAGCGTGTTAAGATCCTGACTCGCACGTAAAATATATTCAGACTTTAGCTTGTTCCACTAGCTCCTCATTACTGTTTCTACCGGTTAAGTAAACGTATGAGTGTAAGTACGGGACATATATTGGGTCATGAATTTGCTGTCTCTCTCTCTCTAATGTAGTGGCTAATAGTCAACAGCTGCATGTGGGACAAACACGAATATTTTGCTTTGGTTGGATTGGCTGGGTGTACCTGCACTACGTGCACTGTATGTATAATAACATTCTGACACTTTGCTGAGTTGGCAGTCCCAGGGATTGTCATAATTTAGCTGATTAATGGAACAGATGCAGTCGCTGCCTCTCCCTCCCTAGAGCCGGGTCATACGAGACGCTGCACTGTATCTCCTAACCGGTACGACAGTATTTTCTGCCAGAAAGTCTCAATCAAGCCCAGATGTGGCCACTTTTGGATACAGTGTGATGTATTTTCACTGTTCCTCAACCACCCAGTGTCAGGTCCGCTGGCTGGGTTGTTTATCTGTGTAGGTGTCGGCCCTGCTGTGGTCGGGCTCAGCATTACTCAGTGCTGCTGACTGCTCGGAGTGATCTCTGTCTGGTATATTTATTAGAAGCAGACTTTTTTTAATTAATTTGCGATTGTTTAATGTGTTTTGTGCACATACTGATCTTCTGTTCCCTCTGGATTTCAGGCCGAGTCTGGTTATGGGTCAGAAACCAGTCTCAGGCGTCATGGTTCCATGCTGTCTCTTACCTCAGCAGCCAGTGCCTTGTCTGCCACGTCCACATCCTCCTTCAAGGTAAAGACACGAGAGTCTGAAGATGTTCGGCACTGTCGGATCATGTCGGACTCTCAGGCCCTCACTGAACTATTTCCATCGATACACAAAAGCCCCTTCTGAAAATACCTGAAGCCAAGCCGCTACATCTGTTGTTTCTTTTCTCAGTTGTCCAATGTTTTGTACTGATGTACAGATGTTTTTTATGATGACCGTGGTTAAAACAAGAGAACTACTGCTCTCTACTTCTGTTTCTCTCTGCTCAGAAGGGGCACAGGTTGCGTGAGAAACTATCAGAAATGGAAACCTTCCGGGACATTCTGTGCAGACAAGTGGACACGCTGCAGAAATACTTTGACTCCTGTGCTGATGTTGTCTCCAAAGATGAATTCCAAAGGGACAGAGGTAACCTGTGGCATAAATACACGATTTATTTGGTATAAATACACTTCATTTGTTTTTTTAGGAGTTTGTAAACATGTAGTGAATAAAGGAGAATTTGTCTTCTTATCATATGTTTAGCGCACACAGTCTGCAGATAATTCAGAATAATTTTGGGTGACATATTTCCTCTCTCTTTTCTTTCATATTGATATTCTTCCACACCGATGGGCAGTTTACTGACAGGATAACCAAAATATAAACCAAGGATAAATATATGATGTGGAGGAACATATAAAGCCGAGTTGATCATGTATATTACTGCAGGAAGTTGCATCATGTTTTATTTTTCAAACACAATTTTGGGTATCTGACATTAGTTTGCATAATTGGTCAATGGCACAAAAATACAAAAACGTTCTCTGACATTTTAAACTGAAATGTACAGTTGTAAAACAAAAACACACAAACGGACCATGGGGGGCGGGACTTGTACAAACAGGACCGTTTCTCTATCATCGTGTTTGCATTGTTTTGAAGTCCAGCGGCCGTAAAATGTTCACGCAATCTCAGTTTTTTAATCAAGATAATTTTACTAGAATCAAGATGACTATAATAAAGTAGCTGGACTTAAACGTGGAGTCAGCTGTTTGGCCGGCAGCTGGTGTTTGTGGCGCTTGTATCGTTCAGTTCAGGATATTTAGAGCAGTGTGGACAAAAGGAATTAGTCTTGATGTTTACTGGCCAAGGAAAAATTTCCTAGATGGAGCTTTCCTTGGCTCATGCAGTATGAAAGTTGAAGGAGCGTGTTTGGCTCATTGAGAAAGGAAACAAAAATCGATCCACTTCCAGGGCACTCTGTGGGTTGTTTAATCTCTGAGGAAGAGGCTCCAGCAGCTTTCATACTGAACTTTTTCTCTCGTGCAGGTTAAACAAACATGTAGTTTATTCTAGATGATGCTTTTGCTAGAAATGTCGTGTTGCTGCTTCAACAATTGTACAATTAAGAAAAAGTATTAACTCTGGAGGTGTTAATACACCTGTTGATAGGAATGCTTAATCAGCTATACGTATGTCCAGGTTAAGGTATTTCTGCTGTTTAATAGTTTGGTTAACTGGACAGATAGATAGTAGATGCATCTTAAACAATGTTGCTCTCTTATTTGTAGTAGAGGAGGACGAGGAAGACGAGGAAGACTTTGCTACAACTGCAAGAGCCGAGGGGGAACATAATCAAAACAACAATGGCAGCAAAGAGAAATGTGAGTTTAACCTGCAGATCATTGCTTCATTTGAGAATATCTGTGAAATGTGGGGCCTTGAAATGACTGATTTCACTTTAAAAGCTTTTGTTTTTGTCTGTGCCAGTGTTTCCCCCCGCCAGTCCCAAAAGTATGAATGGAATAGACTTCAAGGGGGAGGCCATCACCTTCAAGGCCACCACAGCAGGCATCCTCTCTACGCTGTCGCACTGCATCGAACTGATGGTCAAACGAGAGGACAGCTGGCAGAAGAGGCTGGACAAGGTGCGGTCCACACACTTAGTGAATAAAATGAATCTCACTCGCAGTGTGCTAAATGTCCTGTGACTAATGTGCAGTTTACTGAGTAGGCGTGTCCGCAGCTGTGCTAATTGCGGCCTTCCTTTGTCTTTGAGGAGTTAGTTATCTGCTGTCCAAATGTCTAACAATGGTTGCAGAATGTGAGAACAGTCAACTATTCATGGTGAAAGGGAAGTTGATGGAAAAAGTTACTCTACATATGTAGAGTAGTTGTTTTGGAAAGGCTAGAGGGGATTGAAGGGAGTTTGCTCTGATGTTGACTTCTATGTAAAATACACTGGCTGTATTTAATACACAGACCTATGAATGAACAGGTTGGGATGTAGTTCAGATCTGCTAATAGTCATTATTCTTTGTTACATCTTTCTTGGTTATAGAAGATTTTAATTGATGTGTTTGAAAGTTCATTTGTTCCTAATTTGCAATTTGTAAATCTGTTTGTGTTTAAGCGCTCTATCAATGTTCTTTGTGGGAAATGTTGAGCTGCTTTAATGGACGGTGCCTTTTAGCAAACTATTTCACATTTAAGCTGTTTAACTGCCAACTTGCAATTTTAAAGCAAGATGGTGTTAAAAAACAGAGTGCTTAGTCAGCAGTCAAAGACTGGGGGAAAACTGTTAGTGTCTCAAATTACAAAGTCCGTAACTTGTTTTTATTGGACGTAGCGGGTTTACAGGTAGTTACTGAAAACCAGCTAAATCAACTGTAACATTAATCGCTATAATGAACATGAACATTTCAAAACAGTCAGACTCCCTTATCACAAGCTCAAATGCACCTGTTGCCCATAATGAGCTTTAATCCTTTTGCTATTTGACTGTTTTGTTTTTGGTTGCGGTTGAAGTTCCCATAACACTCTATTCCATTAATTGATTTATCTTCATCCAGAGGTGTGTGTGTGTGTGTGTGTGTGTGTGTGTGTGTGTGTGTGTGTG